TTTGCTGAGGCAGAAGAGGGGAAAGGGGGACTTTTATGCTGACACCTTGGAGCCCGGGCCTCCCATGTCATTGGCTGGCAGGCGATAAAAGTCCCCGGTCTTATTAATACTAAGCGGAGAGCTACTATGAGTGGAGTCTGTGTGTTGAGTGAATGGCTGACTTTCCCCCCCAAAACTGCTTAGCAAGGGCTCAGGTGGCGCTGCCTTCGTTTGCTTACTCTAGGTAAGACCCGCTTTGGTGCCTTCCCTCGCCTCGGTCTCTCACTTGCCTGGAGCAGCAGTCTACACTAGGACTCCCACTGCGGAACTGGACCGCTTTACAGGGACGGTGCCACCATCTCGGATTCCTTTGCATGCAAGGTGCTGGGCTACAGCCCTGGACCATCAGCACCATTTCTAAGGAGAACCATTGAACTCTTGAGGCGACTTAACTTCAGCAGGTAGTTAGTTGCCTAGGGTTGTGCTGTGCATGAGGGGAAAGGTGGTCCAGGAAACTATTATTATTTATTATTATATTTAAACCCTTTTTCTCTATGGAAAGAGACCTAAAGTGGTTATTCTGGAAGCTAATTCTGTTATCTATCTTGACTTTTCTGTGTATTCCTAGTAAAGTATAATTAATTACACTAGGAGCGTGACCATACTGGAAAATGAATGCAGTTAGACATCACCTTTAACTGCTATGGCTCAATGCTATGGGATCTTGGGAATTCTAGTTTGGTGAAGCACCAAAGACCTTGTCAAACTACAGCTCCCATGATTCCATAGCATTAAACCATGAAGGTTGATGCAGTGTCAAGTTGCATGAATTCTACAGTGTGGATCAGGCATGGGCAAACTTGGGCCCTCTATGTGTTTTGGACTTCAACTCCCATCATTCCTAACAGCCTCGGGCCCTTTCCTTTTCCCCCTCAGCCGCTTAAGTGGCTGAAGGGGAAAAGGAAAGGGCCTGAGGCTGTTAGGAATGATGGGAGTTGAAGTCCAAAACACATAGAGGGCCCAAGTTTGCCCATGCCTGGTATAGATGCACCCTTAGTTCTACTTTCTCATTGTGGTGGTTTTTCATTCTGTGTCTCTCCTTTGAAAAGTCTCACATTCTGGCTCAGGTGAACTTTGCAAAAGTTTCATTTGGGTGTTGGTGATCTTTCATTTTAGGAAGAACATTCATCCTATTGAATTTATTTCATGCGATTTTGAAGGTGTTGCTAAGATCTGGTCCTGGTGTCATTTTTCATGAATGTGATCCACAAAGGATTGCTTTGGTGGTGATTATTCATTATTAAACCTGGATATATAAGAAACTCCTGTTGCTTGGGTTGTTGTAAGTTTTCTGGACTGAATGGTCATGTTCCAGAAGCATTCTCTTCTGACATTTCACCTGCATCTATGGCGAGCACCCTCTCACAACCTCTGAGGATGCCAGCCATAGATGCAGGCAAAACGTCAGGAGAGAATGCTTCTGGAACATGGCCATACAACCCAAAAAACTTACAACAACCCAGTGATTCTGGCCACAGAAGCCTTCCACAATACTCCTGTAGTTTGTTTGCAACATCTGTTTTCAAAAGGAGGGAGGACAAAATACTTCAATTTCAACTGAAAGATTTCCCCAATAATTTGATCTCTTTGGGGAATGTATGACCTCATGGCACCTACTTTAGGTTCGCCTGGGAAAGGAAGACAACGTACTGTACTTACATATATATAGCAGCAAAACAGCTGATCTGGAACCCTGTAGAGGGGAAACAGCTGTTGGGAGGGGAAAGGCAAGTGGGACAGAAAAGGGTTAACCACCCCATCCACAGTGGCTTCTCTCACTCACTTTACATCCAGTTTCTGCCTCCTGCAGAATTCTGGGGTTTGTAGTTTAGTGAGTTGAGCCTACATTGTGGTTTTTTTAAAATATAGAAAGGATATAATTTTCTTGCATGTAAATATACATGAAGTTTGCCAAAGAAGTAATTTCCCAGTAACATGTAGGCTGTATTGGGTGGCCAACAGTTGTATGGTTCTTAAAGTAATTTCTCTTTTTTTGCTCCAGATTGTAAATCTGAATTCTCTCATGTTTTGGGGATATATATAATATATTCTGCTTCAAAATAAAATCAATTTGTCATATCTGGACATACTCTTTTCTAGGCACTTATGGATATGTCTCAGCAGTAGTTCAACAACTCCCACCGTGGTGAGTGTGTTCTAGCGATACAACTGCAAAGGTCAACATATTCATATAATGTGGACATGTGGCTGAGGTCCAGGTTACCATTGGTATTCAGCAGACCGGATCTCCCAATTTGAGCCTGCCTGGGCCCTAATGCCATTAGGTCAGGCACTTATCTCAGAATGTATCTGCACTGTAGAAGTAATGCAGTTTGACACCACTTTAACTGCCTTTTTTATCATGACAGAAGCAAATTGAGTGTACAGGTGTATTTAAAAACACAAAGTTAAAAACTTGGCATTATACTAAATGTCCTTTGACCAGTAGCTGGCCACTTGGAGTGCCTCTGGTGTTGCCCTAAGGAGGTCCTCCATTGTGAATGTGGCAGAGCTCAGGCTGCATTGTAATAGCTTGTCTATGGTTTACTATTCTCCAAGTCACCCAGTCTTCTGTGTGCCCAGGGGGAGTCTCTCATTCAGTTTCAGCCATGGATTAAGGTTCCGGGTTTTAGCCTGCCACTTTTGGACTCTCACTTGCTGAGGTGTTCCTGCGAGTATCTCTGTAGATCTTAGAAAGCTATTTCTTGATTTAAGGCATTAGCTGATATCCGAACAGGGAATGGGTCAGAGATGTCACTGCCTTGGTTCTTTTATTATTGGCTGCTACTTCCCGGCGGCTCAATGCCATGGCTCAATGCTATGGAGATTTGTAGGTTAGTGAGGCACCAGAACTCTTTGACAGAGAAGTCCTTGTAAAACTACAGCTTCCATGATTCCATAGCTCTGAACCATGACAGTTAAAGTGGTACCAAACTGCATTAATTCTACAGTGTAGATGCAACTTGGGTCTCACTGCTGTCACAAGCACAATTGTGAGGGCCTTCTTGGTGGCTGCCCCATGCATGACCTTGGCATTTCTTTCCCAGGAAGGACGACATTGCACTCTGCTGTCCTTCCATCAGGAGGCAAAAACCTTTCTTCTTCCCCTACAGGAAGTTTTTAAAGAATTGATTAGGGAACACTGTACTATTTTAAACTGAACTGTTTTTATTTTAATTGCACTTAGTTTTTGTTTTTGTTTTTTGACTAGAGGTTTACACTGTTTAAATACGGTGAATAGTTTCATTCTAATATTAAGTTTTGTATGTATTTAACTGGATTGTACTTTTACTATGTGAATGTTCCAAACTTCTCTATAGTTATAGATACAAGGTATATATAGGCTTATTGCATGCGATTGGAACCCTGAAATCAATGGGTGCAGGTTTACTTATGTTTACATTGTAAAATCACAATTTTGGGAGGAAGGGCACATGATGACAATGACGATGACGATGAGCTTGTATACATAAATTTTCTCTTTGCAGGCTGTAAAACAGCAATTTGGCAGAGTGGATGTTTAGCTTTTTCTGTCAGACAGAATAATTGCTCATTTATTTCAGTGATACTGTAGGAATTGTTCAGAACCCTGATCTCTAAACTGATAGGTATCTAATGTACCCAGAAGACAAATTGGAATCAAATAACTTTTTTAAATTTCAGAAACACACATACACATAGATATCTCACCCCACAATGTTTGGATGTTTGAGCACAACCTAGAGATAAGTAAACCTGCACCCATTGATTTCAGTGTGTTCCAGTTGCATGCAATAAGACTATACTATAACTATAGAGAAGTTTGGTACGTTCACATAGTATATTTGAGAAGCTCCATTGATGTATCAACATCAAGGATAGGCACACTTTGACTTTTCTGAATCTATTTTGTTTTTGAGATCCATTAACCAGAGTGTGGAGTAAAAATATATACTTAAAATGAAATAAGTTTTAGCTGAACTGGACAGAAATAATTGACTTTCCAAACCAAAATCTAACTTTTCTCAGTTTGGACAGTACAGTGAAATGGGAGAGGAATTGATTTGTTGTTGTTAAGTAATTCGGAGACAGAACCCCCAGCTGATCTACTGCAAATAATTCAAAGATTTATTAGGGATTCAGATATACTTTCTGGTTTTAAAAATATTGCAACAACTTAAGTATAAATCCTTTTGCTAGTTTGCACTGGAACATTTTGTGCATTTCAGTATTGTTTTAGATTTCTGGCTGCTGGGCTTATGCTAAAAATTTCAAGGCTATTTTCTGACCCACAAAAGCCAGAGGCTTATCTTGTAATGAAGGGGGAACTGGTGATGAGCTCCCTGCCATCTGTTCCTTATACATTCCTCTTAGTTCCACGCAAATTGTGACGCCTCTGTGGCAAAGCTAGAAGAGACAGTGAGTTCAACAGTTGTCACCAGTATTTCCTGTACTGGGCAAGTAATCATGGTCATTTGGAGAAATAAATAATGGTAAACAACTGTATTGTATACTGAGTTTTTAGATAATTTATCCAGTAAGATGTATCTTTTAGTGGTGACTATGGGTGTCAGATGGTAGAAGCTTGTTTCCATTAATTTCAATGAGCAAGAGTTTATTTTGTGCTTAAGTGACACCTAGATTAATAGGAGACAGCCTTTCGCCCTGAAGGATCATGGGCAAGTATGTGTATGGTATGTGTTTTAAAATACAGATGCATGCTGACAATAGCTTTTGGTATCTGTCAGCATCTACTAGTTTATCTCAGAACATTCAAACAATGTTTAAGATACAGCTTTTAAAAATAACAATAAGATGAAAAGCAGTAAGGGATTTTCAAAGATACATTAAATACTGAATACCCTGCTTTGGACAGGGTTTGGATTCTTTTATCCATTGGTTCCCTTCCAACTTGATGAGATTTACCTAACGGTTGTGGTATGCCATTTATTTTATGTTTTATTTGTATTGTTTTCCTAAAGGGATTATCATCATCAAGAGAGCCAGAGGCTGTGTTCCACCCAGGAACGTAGCCAACAAAATTTACCATCTTACTCTTCCCAGCCACCTACTCAAAACCTATTGCCATCTTCTAAAGCACAGGACCATTGTGAAAGCGTCCCTATGAGTGTCAGTAACCTCCCATCTGTGTCCTCTATGTATCAACCCAGCATGTTTAATTATGAGCGTCCAAAACACTTTATCCAGTCTCAGAATACATATCAAGGGAAGCCGCAGCCGCCAGGACCAGACACCTCCACTGCGCTCCCCAGCAGGCCAACTAAGCAGTCTTCCATCCTAATCCAGCCTTGTAACCCTAACGAGAAGAAGTTCTCTTCCTCTTCATCGCTGAGTTCGCCAATCTCACTCTCCTCACCTTCATATAGTGCTTCATTCCCCGTAACACCCGCCTCCGCGCAGTCTCCTGCTAGCTCAACATCCGGGCAGAGGATTTCATCCATGCATAACCAGTCCCCTGCAGCCTTCCTTTGCTCCGTGTTGCCCTCCCACTTTGAATATAGTAGCCAAGGTTCACCCTCGGTGGAATCAAAGTAAGTATGTTTTTCCCTTGCTTTCAACTGTGTGTATGTCCAGCTTCTGAAACCCTCCCAGTGTGGTGCACCATATGTGTCCCCTCCACATCCTGCCTCTTTCTGGGTATAGTGTAGTCAACCCAAGTGTTGGACATTGCCATAGGGATTAGGAGGGGAAGCCAAGAGGTGGGCACTTTGAGTGCCTTTTGTTGCAAGACATCTCCTTCATTTGGGTCTCTTTTCTCCCCCAAATGATACAAGATGGGAGGAATTTGGCACCTAATATTTCCAAAACCTAATATGAGAAAAATCAAGATCTGGCTAATTATTTTTTAAAAATATAAGCACAAAGCACCACGGTTGATCTGATCTGTATTTTCATTAACTTTGGTAGTCTCACCTATTTAAACAACTTAGCTTCACTCCTAAGGAGTTGTACATGTTATATACAATATATGATGTGGTTTACTTCTCTGTAAACATATGTGGGACTCTTGTTATTCCTGTTTAATGCTGTTAAGTCTCATGGTGTTAAAGGAGGTCTTGATTCCTAGTGAGTGAGTAATACTTAGGATTTCAGCTTCAGCAATTCTTCCTCACAGAGCAGAGGCCCCTAACTTAGTTTCGTATAAATTAATCTACAATTCCTGTCATTCCTATCTGGCACCCAAGGAGTTGTAGTTCATCTCTGAAAGATGGGCCAGGCCTCCATACTTTGTTTCTTCTATATGACCCAAATCCTATTCCTGGTTCCCAACTAGAATAATGGAATCAATTGAATTTATCTGTGTGATACTTCATCATTCAAGAACAGATTTAATGAATGTATTCTCATTGAGATTGGTCAATAGGATTCATAATTTATTGTTACTTAGCACAGAAAGGAAAATACTCAGTAGTTTCAATGGAAGATCCTATTCCTACATGGCATACATTGCTTCTCCAAACTTTTTTCACAGAATAGGAGAAAATCAAATGGAATTCCCATTGTGGAAAATGGAAAGAGGGTTTTTCTCACCTCTTAAAACCTTTGAAATGTTTAATGAAAGCCAACTTTCTTGCAACTTGAGCTAGGTAACGCTTGGAAAAAGTTCGTGCACACATTTAGAATAGAAATTATTCCAATTGTTTCCTAGCTCATGTTTCAGGAACTTGCTGGTACTTCACAGGCCAAGAATGTACAAACCGCTCTTGTTCTTCCTGCTCTGCAGTGAAAAGTAGTGATACCCCATTCTGTATAATTCGGTGTAATGCTTGAGAGGCACAGAGGACCAATGAAAGGGAGAATGTATCATGACAACAATAAGACTGAAAACACACACGCTCTCTTTCATTCACACACTCTCTCACACAGTCTTGGGCATAAAATATCATTTCTTTTGAGGGAATTCAGGGGCAGGTATTACACATTTCTAGGAGAACCATTACAATAAAATGTGTACACAATATTTAATAATACTTTTCTTTACAGAATTTCTTAAGTTTTAGTCAAGCATCTTTTGAAGCAAGAGAATCTTAATTCAGCTCCAATATCAGGACTGCAGTCCCAATTGCCTAAAATTAAGTTTGACTGCAACTAGTGAAACTTGATCATAATGGTAGATAAATATGTATAAGAACTGAATATCAGATAAGACATAGAGAAACACTGTTGATTTGGACTGGGGCAGATGTGTATGCTGATTTGCTGTGCCATCCTGCTGTAAGAATAATTTACTGTGCACACACAAAGATTGCTGTTAAATTGCCAACAAGATATTAACCAAAATTGTTGGCAATTAAGGATTTAATCCAAATTCCTATTAGAGTAGACTAAATGGAGCATATATTACTGTTGACTTCCAAAGCTTCCATTGATTCAATGTGTCTTCTGCCCTATATAAGGCAACCGATCCCCCTCATTGTCCTGCTCTGTCCTCCAGTTTAGGATTATTAAATCTAAGGATTTCCTTGTCTCTCCATCATTAAGATGGCTAAGGTGAAGTTCTGTTTTTGCAACAGACCATGCACCTTGTATTTTGCAGTCTTAATTAGCAGAGCATATGGAAAATAAGGAATGACCCAGTTCTACAGCTCAGTTGTTTGTATTTGTAGGCCTTAGTTATTTGCCTCTGCATGATATATAGCGATATATTCATTTCATGGAATGATCTGAGCATTGGAAACAATTTGAAGGCATGCAGCAACAACAAATTTATGTCAACACAGTAAACCACATAGAGGTTTTTCTATGTTGTATTGATGGTAGCCATAGAGCACATCAGCCAGATACATATTTGTTGGAATTATCCTTAATGTCAAGTCTTATGTTATGCTGAAATAATTTCTGTCTCCTTTTGTTTAAATTAGCAGTTATTCAAAGCCTATGTATAAGAAACAAACCAGCAGCCCCAGGCAAGTACAGAAGACCTCTGATAGAGAGATCCAAGGAACGAAAGACGCCCTCATTCAAGACTTGGAAAGGAAACTACGATGTAAAGATAACCTTCTCCATAACGGGAACCAGGTAAGGAGATGTACATATCATTGGCCAAGGGGAACTAGTGATTTAGCAATTGAACTGGCTTGCCTCAGTCTTGACTTCCAAATGTTTTCACTCCTTTAACCAAGAGCAGGAATCATGCAGACTTCTGTTTTTAGGCCCCTTCTACAGTGCCCATAAAATCCAAATCATATGCTTTAAACTGGATTATATGGCAGTGTAGATTCAGATAATCCAGCTCAAAGCAGATAATTGAATTTGATCATCTGGATTATATATCAGTATAGAAGGGGGTTTAAGACTCCCAGCACCCTTGGCCAGCATAGTCAATAGTGAGGAAAGCTGGGAGCTACACTCCAGCAACCTGGTTTTGAAAACGGCTTTTAGCCAATTTAACAATATAAGATTGATGTGTGTGAGAGAGGAAGGGATGGGGAAAATATGATCATGCATATGTTGCAGTTGTAGTAATATTTGGCATCAACAGCATAGAATACTGCCTAGTCAGTGCTATATATGAGTTTACAGTAGGAAACAGAAGAGAAAATATGCAGGATGCTCTGTAAGGTTTTTAAAAAGGTAAAAACTTACTCTTACTGTTGCAGGCAATTTGCCTCATATAAAAGAGTAGAAAACAAAACCTTTCTTAACTTCAGTGCAGGAGTCCCTAATGCTGACTCTCATGTGTTTGCGTCAGCCGTGTAGAGGCAGAGAGAGGCCTCATTCTTCTCCCTTCTCAGACAAAGGGTCATAAAGCACACTAAAGTCTTTTGGGAAAAAGGCCGGTGACTTCTATATGCAGGCAAGAAGCAAAGCAGCTTAAGTTGCATAGATCCAAGAAACAGAGGTGAAAACCAGACAGCAGGCATGCACTGTGGGGTTCCCTTTGTTCCTAAGATGTATCAACATACAAGTGTTGATGCATCTTCACTTCCAACAGAAATGTTCACTGAAACGTTTTACTGTGTCTGGGATTATCAGAGCTTACCATCTGATTGAAAGCCACTTGTGCATGTCAACCCATGGTTTATAGTTGATACCAGAGTCCATAAGAATTATTCTGGGTGTAGGACTATGACAGAGGTCAGTGTGACCCTATGGTTTAGATCCCATCTAAGTCTACTGGATTACGCAGTAGGGATGTTTTGCTCTAGATAATAAAAGAGTGCCACTGTTTTACAGGAGGGCAGTAACTTCATATCAAAGCATCTGCTTTGTGTGTAAGAGATCAGGTTCAATCCTTGCAATCTATAGGTAAGGCTGGAAAAATACATGTATGAAACTCTGGAGGGAGACTGCCAGTCACTGTCAACAGTGCTAAGCTAGATAAGCCTATGGTCTGACTCAGCATGGAGACGCTTCCTTTGTACCTAAAATGGTAGTTCTGTGTTGTGTTGTGTCCTGGCTGTTCAATGCCTAGATCAATGTATTTGTGTCCTGGCATCAGCTCCCTGCGTCCCAGGGCAGCTGTTGAGAAAGAGGTCAGGAGACGAAGGAGAAGCCACATTATTATGTTGTTGCCTGGACACTGAGGTAACTTGGACTGCATGTTACAACAGGGGGAAAGAACTCCGCATGTGGCTATTTTCACTGACTACCTCATCCTTTTGCAACATGTCCTTTTGCCCTACTTGTAGATACTTAAAAGAAGCTCTGTTGCACTCTACTGGTCTTGCCCCTTTTTCTGGGGACAAAACTTCAGAAGTTCATAGATATGAGACCTGTTCCTCTATAACTAGCCCTTTTAGTAAATATGTGTGCTGTGGTAATTTACTCTCACGCCTGAACAAGCTGGTCCAGGATGCATCCAGCCTCAATATGATTAAACTTCCCTTTAAAAGGTCTTACATTAGAAATTAATTCTGTGTTTTATTTATTTTATCAGTAGCCAATGTTTCCACTGTGTGTGAAAACTATGTTTAACAATTATTTATTTATTTACCCTATTTATACCCTGCCTTTCTCTACCCCGAGAGGGACTCAAGGCAGCTTACATATTGGCAATAATTCAATGCCTTAAAACACATAGATCTGAATGCTGTCAAAGCAGCCCAAAATAGAGAAATGATGAACTGAAATTTATATCACAATATTACATTTGTGATAATGTAAAATAGCTTAAACATTTACTGCTGCTTTCCTGTGGGTATGAATGAGAGCTAGATGGAGCTCTCTTATCAGTGAGGAATATCAAATATATTGGAAATGTATTGTCGAAGGCTTTCATGGCCGGAATCCATGGGTTGTTGTAGGTTTTTCCGGGCTATATGGCCATGTTCTGGAGGCAATTTTTCTCCTGATGTTTCACCTGTATCTGTGGCAAGCATCCTCAGAGGTAATGAAGTCTGTTGGAACTAGGAAAATTGGGTTTATATATCTGTGGAATGACCAGGGTGTCCTTTGTCCTTTGTCTCACTCTGGTCATTCCACAGATATATAAACCCAATTTTCCAGAACATGGCCATATAGCCCGGAAAAACCTACAACAACCCATATTGGAAATGTTTAGCAAAAAGCACTCAATCTTCTGCTTAATTAAAAAGTGCTTTAATATCAGCTGTAGGAATACAGCAAGTGTCCTCTAGAGAGAATATAAGCTCCCAGTTTTCTCAGACCAGCTTCTGTTGCAAGACACTATTGAAGGGCAAGAGTATTTGCAATGCATTAAGGGTATGATTCTTGTGGTGTTGATTTGTTTGCTCAGCTCCCCTTGTGGAAGTTAGAATTAGCATTATTTAGATGGCCTTACATTTTTCTGACCCACAGAGAAAGTGAACATTTGATCTATAATATGTGTACTTTCTACTTGCCTTGCAAAAATAGTAGGAAAATGGGCTGGCACCATGGCTCAGGATGGAATTGAATGTTGCAAAACAAGTGACAAGTATCACATCATCGATCACTTTATGGTGTGGTGTGTGTATATGTGTGTGCAGTACCTTTCAGGTCACTGTTTCCTTCTTCCATCCTCCTCCTCCTCCCTTTAGTACTGGAGAGCAGAGACTTCAGCTTTCACAGGCTTCAATGATTCAAGTGATAGCTTATACGGTCCACTTCTTAAAGTTACTCAATATAACATGTTCCACAAACACATTTTTCTGTATAAGCTCTGTAATGCCCAATGGGAATTAAAGTCCAACTAGCACTCACTAATTGATATTTTCCTGTTTTCCTTGGCCTGTGTAAAGCGTTTAAGCTACGAGGAGAGAATGGCTCGCAGGTTACTTGGACCAGCAAATGCTGCATCTGTGTTTGAACCTCAAAGTGAAGAAAATGCACAGGACTCACAAGTAAGCTCTTTTGAAAATATATTTCCCAGGAGTTAGAACAGAAAGATCTCTCTTACATTTCAGTTCTTGCAAATCAAACCAATTTATGAAATAAATAAATAAAAACACGACAGTTGGAGCCTCAAGGAAACTTGATAAAATCACTGTGATGGGTAGAATCCTCATGTCATCCTTCTACTGCCTTTTGCAACCAATACGAAACAGAGGAGAAGTAGAATAATGAAAAAAAGGAAAAAAAAGAAAAGGGTATAAAGACATAAATCAGAAGTGAGCTATTTTACTATCCCCTCCCACTGAAACATGACTCTTACTTCAATGGTGGTGATGGACCATGGCCACCATAGGGCAACAGGAGAGCTTTGGAGTCTGGAGGCAATCTTTCTGACACACATATCAGTATCCTACCGTAACTGCCTGAGCAAGCTGTCTCATTGTGCTTAATGGTAGGGCCAGCCCAACATGATATTGTGATGGTGCAATGCTCAAGATGCAGAAGGCCAATGGCAGAGGCAATAAAATGTTCACAGTAAGAGGAAGGGGTCAAGCTATATACTGGTAAATAATTTTCTGTAAGTTTTTTTGTGTCTCAGGAGCTACTTGAGAAACTGCAAATCGCTTCTTGTGTCAGAGTATTGGCCATCTGCAAAGACATTGTCCAGGGGATGCCCAAATGTTTTACCATCCTGTGGAAGGCTTATTTCATGTCCCCGCATGAGAAGCTGGAACTCACCCTGCTCCCTGGATTCGAACTGCCAACCTTTCAGCCAGCACTCCTGCCGGCACAAGGATAGTGCAGTTCAGTTGCTTCTCGTTCTCCATGCAAGAAAATGGAATATTTGAGTGGAAGCACTTACTTTTTGCAGTTAAAATATTTAAGTAGTATGGTCCTATGAAAGGTATTTGCTTCACTTACTTCTATAGAGAAAATAGAAGAGTCTATAACTGGAAAAACATTGATACTATATTGAGAATCTCTTTTGTAGTTTATGCTTTGCCTAGTGTCTGCCCATGACCATGCAGCCATAGGATGTATTCTTCTCTTTTGGTCAACAATCATAAAGTATCAAGAAATGTAAAAATATAGGTAGGTAGTAGCTCATCATGTTGTGTAAGGAATAGGAATCCTCATTAAAGATTTTGTGAGCATATTCTGTGTAAAAGTTGGCTAGCCTGCAAAAATCGTACTCCAAAATGTAATCAGCAGATGTGACTAACTTGACACAGAGCTTATATCTTACTGTGATGGATCCACAAATAAAATTCCTAGAACTGTCAATGCTGCACTTCCTATATTTAACTGGCCTCGTTGCTAAAATGGCAGAAATGTCTCTGTGCCTGAATGATAGCTTGTCTTGAATTCTATTCCATCTGTTCCAGAAAAAAGTAAAATGGATCTCATTAGTAAGGGGGTTTTAAAAAAATCCCAGTTGCTCATAAAGTCCATGCGATTTGGTTAAAACGTTATTGGAAAGCTTAGCTAGCTCTAGCTCTGTGATCTAACAAGGAAAATATTTTCCAGTTTAATGTGTGTTGATTGCCATTGGTACCCTTTTGTGAGTGCGCACAGCCCTTAACGCCTGCCAAAGCTAAATATTAAAGTGACTTGACTTCTATTCCTGCTCAGCTGAAGGACAGTTTGTCCCTAGCTCCCATTTCAGATATTCCACTGGGATGATGTACTCTACCCTCTAACAAAGGCTACCTGTTTGCCAAAATATTTTGGACCTGTGGAAAGAACTGAATTACTCCTTGTAACAAAAGAATACTGATTCTATTTTCTGTTGCTGATGTATTAAAATAGATTATATGTATTAATATGTATCCCTTGCTGGATAAAACCTTTTTATTCAGGCAGGCTTTTAAAGAAGGAAGTTTTTGAAATCAAGTCAAAGGGTGCTGTAGTTTTAGTTCTGAATCTGTTTTTACTCAATTTTAAGGATTTGAACTGTTTTTAATGCCTTTAATGTTTAATTCTGTTTTAGTATTTGTATATTTTTTAGGTTTAAAATGTATTGCATTGGTTTTGATATAAGCAAGTCTCCATTGCAGAGAAAAAAGAGGGATATAATCATAATAATAATAATAATAATAAATTCAATAATAATAATAATAATAATAATAATAATTTACAAGTGGTGGTAAGAAATCACTTCTTTGCTTCTCCAGCAAGCTTAATTGACATATTTTCAGCTGGATAAAGCACTGGTAACCCCTCTCTCATTCTCTCGGTCTCTGTCTCTCCCTCTTTTGCCACTTCTCTGCATTTCACAGCAGCAGAACTTGGAAAGTTCACGCCTGCAAGTTCCAGCAGCCCAAGTAAGGTATGCGATATGTAGAGCTTTCACTGCAAGGTGACTTCTGTGGGGTGTAATGATACAAGACTTGATCCAAATGGCAAAGTTGTATTTAGCGAACACACTGGTGAGAAGTTAGTGGCCTAATAGTTGTGAGGCTGTGACTTCAATTATATAGTTTTATAATCTATTCCCATTGCATTTGCTGGTGCTTACTTACTCCCAAGTACAGCCTAGGAATGCTGCTAGAGGCACACATTTCTAAGAGTGGTGGTACTGTTATTTAAAAGACATTGTTGCAACCAAATCACTTCAATCTAAATCTAATGGAAAACTACAAGGCACGAGATATTAAATCCAATGCCACGAAGACAAGGATAGGAATCAAGTTACGTGAAATAATAAGTTGTCTTCAAAACAGTTCAGGGGAGGGGGGTCTTTTCTAGTGAGGGTTCCAAACTAGAAATTGAATTCTAGCTCTTTGGGAAGTGTCTTCACCACCAGGAATACTAATCCACTGATAGTGTGGTTGGGGTAGTGGTAAAGAAGCAATGCAGTGCTGATTTTTTAAATGTATACTTGTAGGAGCAGGCCATCTTCAAGAGGGGAAAGGAATGAGCAAGGCTCAATCCAAGAAAAGTTTTTCCAACCACGTTTCGTGCAAGTGCCTGAAGATATAACAGTTGAAGAAGGACGATTCTGCAGGATTGATTTCAAGGTAGTAATAATATATCAGCATTAGGTGCTTTTAATAAGGTTTCATCAGACTAAGCTCCAACTACACCATTATTCTCTTTCAAATGCTGGTGAGCCAGAATGCCACCAAAATGTGTCTGTGCAAAAAGTGGTATAATTTTCTGATATTATATCTGGTCCTAAAGGCTATTGACCAACTGTGGTTTTAGAAAATCAGATTACTTATATCCTCCACGAATCTGCCTAATCTTCTTTTAAAACCATCTAAGCTGCAGTCCACACCACATCTTTTGGTAACACATTCTATAAGTTAATTACAGAATCCCTATAAGAAGGATTTAGAATATGGCTAAAAGGATTTTTTAAATTTTGTTTTTGGAAGCCTGCTCATTCATTGTCACAAGCATTTGCTTTTGTTTATTTTAATTTGGAGCAATTCATCTTCCATAGAAACAGTTTAGAGTTTAGGCTTGCATGCTGATCCCATTCTGATTCTTTGTTACCTTTCTTTTGCCTGCATCTTGATACAATCTGTAATGAGCAGAAAGGCATGAAAGCATTTGCAGGCCACTGATCATTACACTAATGGACCAAGCCATGTGGCATGGCCTTCCTGGCCTAGCCATGTTGTTGGTCAATTTCTTTCTGACCTAGTTTTGTATCACGTGTTGCTAACGTCACTTGCATCATTCTGCATCTTGAGAGCTATACACTTTCTTCTTTGGTCAGGAGCTTTCTTTTCAAATACATTTTAAACTCTCAGAAATTGAATATGCCAAAATTAACTTGTTGTTCTTCACCAACCATACTTGAGTTGAACCACTTCCAGTATAACCATTTATTAGTCTACTCTTTCTCACAGGCCAGCTATGTTTTTAAACTGTTTTTCACAACTGTGTTGGGCAACAAATGTGTCCTGGTGCTTTATACATTGGAAAGCAATAATCTGCAGTGATTTTCAAAACACTGCAATTTGTTTCCATATACGTACTGTATTACGTTTAGTTGCTACATTGCTTTACACACAATATTTTATATGATGGAGGGGGGTGGGGAGGTACTGCCAGACTTGTTCACATCTGTTTTCACTGTTCTAACATAAATCATCTTTCAAATATTACAAATTACAAAAAGCAAGTCAAAGAGCTTTCACTCTCACCTTGCTAGAGCAGTGTGTGTATGATTCTGGGGCCGCATACAGTCCTCTAAGCATTTTTGGGGCCTATTCTGTAATCCTCCAGGAGAAGGAAGTCACCTTTAAAATAGATTTTTACCCCTTTTGTACTGTGTAACCTTTTTAAAAACAGCTTTTCACAACCAAAAGTAGGCATCTGGACACTCTGGGATTATGTTCTTTTAGCATTGTTTGGCATTTCTGTAGCCCTGAGAGGTCACAAGGTAGTAGTTGCCTAGCCCTCCTGAACCAATGACCTTTAAAGCTTAGTATATGAACTGCCAAAAATAAAAGTTTACCATTTCTGTTTCAGTACATCTTAGGTATACATAGTTCCTTCAGTTGTACTGAGTCCCAATACAGGTATGGGGCAGGCTTCAGTTCTTCCCTTGATTTAAATGCATATATAATTTTGAAAATCCATCTGCATCGTACTATTGTTGTATTTCATGGTAGCACAACTCACACTGACATGATGCTGCAGCAAGAAGTGCTAGATCTGACTTTGGTTCTAATCCAAAATCAGCCAGAAATCTTACTGTCTTGGATCAATTGTCATTTTGTAAGTAAATCTACTTCATTGTGGAAATAAAATAAGGAGGAAAAGGTGTAACAAAGTTTAAAATAAAGAGCTTAAGATTTTTCTGTGTAGAGCCCAGAGAGCCAGTGTGGCATAATGGTTTGAGTATTGAACTGTACTCTGGAGACCAGTGTTCGAATCCTTCCTTGCGCATAGAGTCCCACTGGATTACCTTAGGCAAGTCATACTCCCTCTGCCTCAGAGAAAGGCAAAGCAACCCCCCTCTGAACAAATCTTGCTAACAAAACCCCATGATAGGTTCACATTAAAGCCATTTGTTGGCACACAAACAGCAGCAACCTAGACCTCCCTTGGACATAATCTATAGCTTCATGGTACTTTTATTTGGACACTATTTCTGAGTGTATCCTATGTTTCCTTTTACAGGTGAGCGGGCTACCAACTCCAGATGTGGCTTGGTATTTAAATGGAAGACTAGTCCACCCAGACGAATTTCATAAAATGATTGTTTCCGAAAAAGGCGTCCATTCATTCATTTTTGAAGTCGTCCGAGTCTATGATGCAGGAATGTGGGAATGTGTGACTTATAACCGTGCTGGAGAAGCTTCCTTCACAGTAAAATTAGATGTCATTGGTATGAAACAGCTTTGTCTATGTCTATGTTGCTGGTATCCTTTCTTCATGTGTTCGCCAGAGCAACACTCTTGAGCATCTTCAATTTCTCTAATTCAAGATGCCCAAGTTTACCTGACAAAGACCTAGTAACCAGCAGCCTATAGGCTGAGCCATGAAGGGGTGCAGCTAATCCTGCAACTGCGTGCACAGCAATGTCTCCCTTTGCTGCTGAACATCCAGTTATAGGAATGTAGCCCAAAACTCCTATCTGCCCCTTCTTCACCAGCTTTTTTTTCGTGTCAGGAGTGACTTGAGAAACTGCAAGTCGCTTCTAGTGTGAGAGAATTGGCCGTCTGCAAGGACATTGCCCAGGGGATGCCCGAATGTTTTACCATCCTGTGGGAGGCTTCTCTCATGTCCCCACATGAGAAGCTGGAGCTGATAGACAGGAACTCACCCCGCTCATTAGATTCGAACCGCCAACCTTTCGGTCAGCAGTCCTGCCAGCACAAGAGTTTAACCCGTTGTGCCACTGGGGACTCTGGCTAATAAATGACTATGTTGAGGGGAAGCTGCAGGGGATGTTTGGGGATACTTGGGGGCTTGAAGGAGAAAACACATAGTTCCAACTGATTAACCATTTATTTAATTCATGCTGCTCCAGGCTATAGCTTTTAGCTGCCTTCACTTTTAGCATGCTATGGTTGTACATGTACATTGCACAGTTCTTGCCTATTCTTTTTCAAAATATATTTTTCCTTTTTTTTCTCCCTTTCCCTTGATAATAAATTTCCAGCCCGAGAACATCGGAAAGCTCCAAGCTTCATCTTTAAACCACAAAGCACAAGAGTCTATGAGGGGGATTCTGCCAGGATTGAATGCCAAGTGTCTGCTCTCCCTCCGCCACAGATCTACTGGAAAAGAAATAATGAAATGGTGCAATTCAATACAGATCGAATCAGGTAGGCTTACATCTGATAGGCCCATTTGCAGCTTTTCAGGCATTAAGTTGGAACTAAATTATGTTGTTCTGGTTTTCATGTTTAAAATACTGTAATACTAGTCATAAAAAGAACAAAAATTGATCTATACTACACCTCCGATATTTTGTCTCCACCAATAATCCAATCAGCATCTTAGGTCCTACTCTAGATAGAATTAATGCAGATTGATACCACTTTAACTGCCATGGCTGAATGTTATGGAATCATGGGAGCTGTAATTTTACAAGGTGTTTGCCTTTTCTGCCACAAAGACCTTAGCAAACTATATCTCCCATCTAAGTACAAACTATTAGTGACACTGCTTTGCTTACAAGATCAGGTGGGATCTGGTGGTTTGAAGATATTTAAGCATTAGTTTTCCACAAAAGGAAAATCTGCACTGCAGTTTGAAAAGGCTTGTTTACTTAAAGAGATCATGAACTGCATTGAGTCCCATTGATGAAAATCTTTGGAGCGGTGCAGAGTTAAGTTTAAGAAAATATAATGTTCTTTGAGAAACATATATAGAGAAAATATAATGTTCTTTTTCCTCTTTTCCTAGTATGTTTCATGATACCTCTGGAAAAGTTTGCCTGCTGATCCACGATGTAAATAAAAAAGATGCTGGTTGGTACACAGTGTCTGCAGTCAATGAGGCAGGAGTGGCAACTTGTCATGCCAGGTTGGATGTGGCTAGTAAGTGGCAACTTCTTTTCTAAAAGATGTATCTATAAAGTGTGAAGCCAGTCCATTCATACATGTGTCCCTACCTAACCATGCTACACATACAAACTTCTAACATTCAAATACGTGTGAGTTAAAACCTGGATGTTTCAGCTAGCAACTAAGAATGCATAGTCCCTAGTTATAAATGCCGAGTCCCTAGGTTGCCTGATAATATTTTGTTCTCTGCTCTTCATCTAATGCCTCAGTCCTCTATCCCATGCCCGGCCCTTTTTATAGCCTGGTCACCCCCATTGTATTACTGGTCATTGGTTCTGTTGAGCATTCTTTTGATTGAGTTTCAGTGCTGCTGTATTATATTCTTATGTTTTATTTAATTGTGTTTTTTTTAAAATCTGGATTGTTATATTTTAACATCTTTTTATTTTAGTTCTGTTTTTGCCTTAATGGATATTTTGTATTTATGTCTTGTGGGCATTTTGTCCCATATGTAAGCCACCTGGAGTCCCTTCGGGAGATGGTGGTGGGGTATAAAAAGAAAGTTATTATTAACGGTATTTGTAATATAGTCATAATAAAGCCATTTTATGGCTGACATGTACACGCATGGGCTAACTCACTCTCTCAAGATGGGTTAGCAGGTGTATTTTACGACTAACGAAGTTCTATCTGTATCTTTGTTCAGAAGACATATGAACCACATGATTTTCTGGGGTTGTTTATCTATAGTTTTTCTCTGTTGTGGTGCATGTTTATTTTTAGATGTAGTGAAAATGTCTCCCCTGTGCAGCTAGGTGGATCTAAATCACTGACATCAGTAGACATTAAGAAAGATGCACAGTAGACATTTAAAAAGATGGACCAAAGCTGTGCAAGATGGAGGTTATTAATAAACAGAGCATGCACATGGCCAACAAATCCAGGTTGCTTTATGCACTTTGTTTACTATGGTTGACTGTGTTCTTCGATGCTGCAAATAAAAACTGAATGTTCATATTACTGAACTATAGTTCTCCCTTCCCATTTTAAATTACTAGTAATCTGGATTATCTCTGTTCCTTTTTGTAATCATCTGTTTCAGCTCACACATACAAGCCACGTCCAAATCCAAAGCCACTGAAGGTTCGACCAACTTTTAGCAAATACTTAGCACTCAACGGTAAAGGTCTGGATGTGAAACAAGCTTTCTTGCCCGATGAAGGAGAGTTTCAGCGTCTGGCAGCACAGTCTGGGCTCTACGAGAGCGATGAACTGTAATGAACATCAATAAATTGAAAATACATCTCTTGCTCCTGTGACACACTTAAGGGCAGCACAAAGAGGCAATTAAGTGATGGTTGCACTTATTAGCCAACACGCATAATATATTTTTATTTATAACTTAACTCTTTAACTCTTACTCTCATTTTCTGCTGTTGTGATGTTACCAAGATCGATTTCTATGAATGTGTGTGACTAGCAGAAGAAAATATCAAAGGTTTATACTTTTTACTTTTAAAGGTCAAGAAACTAGGCCAGTGGATGATAATAAAAGTGCAGAGGGCTTGAACACAGCTAGATTCAGTCACTGGGTTTTTATTTGTACTGCTTTGTTAATATTACTCCCTATGTTATTGCAGTTTTTGCAGGCTGACTACTAAACATAAATGTGTTTTTAATTAAAGTTTTATGTCCAGTGCAAATAAAGTTTTAAATATAACACTTGCCATTTGTCTAGTCTTTAGAATACAGCTGAATGAGAACTGTTGTCTTTCGTAATTGTTATGTAAAGATTTTCAAATCTGTGTCAAAAAAGGGCTCCTCTGTAAATAAACAAACAAAAGAGCACACTGATCTGTGATTAAAAGTCAGCCAAATGAGACATTTCATTTCAAGGAGTTCATGAAAACCTTGAGTATAAAACATGGGCCCTTCTAGTATTTGACTACATTTACTTAGGCGATCCCTCGTAGCCCGAGGATGAAGATCCTCCAAGTTCAGTCTCTTGGTGGTGAGTCTGTAGGTGGCTACGGAAGAACCGCATAGTGAGGACATTGGCTTTCAGGTGAAAGGCTGTCCTGGTCTGGGTTGGTTTGATGTGCCTTCCTCTTGGCACATTTCTCCCTTACGCCCTCCGTTCATGCCTCTTAGAATTCTGCAGCACTGCTGGTCACAGCTGACCTCCAGTTAGAGTGTTCAAGGGCCAAGGTTTCCCAGTTCTTGGTGTCTATGCCACAGTTTTTAAGGTAGCCCATCTTTAAATCTCTTTTCCTGTTCAACATTAACCGATCTTTAAATCTCTTTTCCTGTTCAACATTACGTTTCCCATTTTTCAGTTTGAAGTATAGTAACCGCTTTGGGAAATGGTGATTGGACATTTGGACAATGTGGCCAGTCCAACTGAGTTGATGGCATAGGAGCATTACTTCAGTGCTGGTGGTCTTTGCTTCTTCCAGCACATTGACATTTGTCCACCTGTCTTCATGAGAGATTTGCAGGACTTTTCAGAGGCAACACTGATGGAATCATTCCAGGAGTTGAGTGTGACGTCTGTATACAGTCCATGTTTTGCAGGCATATATCAGGGTTGGGAGGACAATACCTTTTCATAAACAAACACATTGGTGTCTTTACGGATGTCCTTGCCCTCAAATACTCTCTGCTTCATTCGGAAAAATGCTGCACTCATAGAGCTCAGGCGGTGTTGTATTTCTGTGTCAATGTTGACTTTTGTAGAGAGGTGGCTGCTAAGGTAATGGAAATGGTCAACATTTTCTAATGTTACACCATTAAGTTGTATTTCCATCATTGCAGAGGGATTGGCTTGTGAATACTGGAAGAGCACTCACTACAAGTCCTAGCTACTCTAGCAAGTATGGCCAATGGTAAGGAATCTGGAGGGTTGTGTGACTATAACCCCATGAAGGATACATCAGTGGTTCTCAACCTATGGGTTCCCAGGTGTTTTGGCCTACAACTCCCAGAAATCCCACCTAGTTTACTGGCTAATTAGGCTTTCTGGGAGTTGAAGGCCAAAACCCACAGGTTGAGAACCACTGGAATACATGCAGTGGCTGATGTTTTATGGTGTACTTTCAGCTGAATGAGGCACCAAGGTAGGGGAACTAGTTTACAGTACATATCTTTATATTATAGGTAAACTGAATAAAAATGTCAAGGAAGCCAGTCAGTGTACAATGTCAAGGTTCCATCTTGACATTTGGAGGTTTTCATCAAGACAGGCCTATAGAAGATGGAGCTGAAGACACAAAAGGAAATGGCTGGACATTACTGACAGAGTGTATTGCTCCCTCAAACATGTTGCTCATTCTTTTTAGAAATCTAGCTGGCTCTTTTTGACAATGCCAAATTTACCGGGAGCATGATTTTCACTGCATTTAATTAGTTTGGTGTACGGAGTACAATATCACAGCAATTTTCTACAAACTGAACAAGTAAAGTTCCTCTGACTAATGGTTGCAACAATAGCTTGTGAGCTCTAAAAGTGTGGGTTACCAAGACTAGAATGTACATTGTTGAGTTAACCCTGGACTACTTTACATCATGTACACACAGGGGAAAACAACTTGTATCTGTGAATAGCTCTCCAACACGTACAGCCGCAGCATTTTCTAACACAGTGTTAATTCAATAATAACAATATTACTTTATTTATTCTCCACCCTCTCTCCCCGGAGGGACTCAATTAGTGATCCATAGGCCAGTGTTCACCTGTGAGCCATTGGCTTTCAGTTTATGGACTTTTTCCACGGAACTATGTAAAGATGAGTGTCCTAAATACTTTAAAGGCACCAGACCAGGTGGTTTATGGGTGTGCAAATGGCTCGATAAAGCTACCAACATGCTTTCTTACCCAGTAGCTATTCAATTCAACCTCGGAAAGGGGTGAAAAGGCTTTGTAAGACTGGTAGAATGTTGCTGACTCCACCTGACCAATGGAGAGCCAAAGTGGCCAAATGGTTTCAGCGTTGGACTACGTCTAGATCCCTATTTGATCCCTCTCTCAGCCATGGAAACTCACTGGGTGGCTGGCTTTGGGTGAGTCACATTCTCTCAGCTCCACGATAGGGTCGCCTTAAGTCGGCAAGGACTTGAAGGCGCACAACAACACACCCTGAGTGTTAGACAGAGGGTGCTCTTGAGTACAGAAGTCTGTTTTTCAGTCAGATGTCAGTGTAGGAACTTAGAAAACTGTTGAGGCTTGAGTTGCTTTGAAAGTTGACTGTTATGAAAGGGAACTGTACAGAACAATATAGTTTTTGAAGAGACTGTTAAGGACAATAAGTTAAAGATACAAACTGAAGCATTTCAAAGTTTAACCTGATAATAAATGTGCCTGTATATTTAAACACATATATCTTTTAAAATAAGTTTGTTTTACTTTGTTATGAGTAAAACAAACTTGTTATTTTAAAAGAAGTCTACTTGAATCTTTGTCTGCTGAAAGCATAGAAGAAAAACAAGATGTTTACGAGCCCAGAGAGCATCCATTATTGTGCAGCGTTTCTCAACCTAGGCGTTGGGACTCCTGCGGGGATCATGAGGAGGTGTCAGAGGGGTCACCAAAGATTATCAGAAAACACAGTATTTTCTGTTGGTCCTGAGAGTTCTGTGTGAGAAGTTTAGCCCACTTCTATCATTGGTGGGGTTCAGAATGCTCTTTGATGGTAGGTAAACTATAAATCCCAGCAACTACAACTCCCAAATGTCAAGGTCTATTTTCCTCAAAGTCCACCAGCGTTCACATTTGGGCATATTGAGTATCCATGCCAAGTTTGGTCCAGATCCATCATTGCTTGAGTCCACAGTGCTCCCTGGATGTAGATGAACTACAACTCCGAAACTCAAGGTCAATGCCACCAAACCCTTCCAGTATTTTCTGTTGGTCATGGGAGGTCTGTGTGCCAAGTTCATTTCTATTCCATCATTGGGGGAGTGCAGAATGCTTTTTGATTGTAACTGAACTATAAATCCCAGCAACTACAACTCCCAAATGACAAAATCTATTCCCCGCCCAACCCCATCAGGTATTCAAATTTGGGTATATTGGGTATTTGTGCCAAATTTGCTCCAGTGAATGAAAATACATCCTGCATATCAGATATTTACATTAGAATCCATAACAGTAGCAAAATTACAGTTATGAAGTAGCAACTAAAATAATTTTATATTTGGGGAGTCATCACAACATAAGGAACTGTATTAAGGGGTCACAGCATTAGGAAGGTTGAGAAACACTGCAATAAAGTAAAAGAGCACCTCCATAACTCTGATGCCCAATAGATTATGATCCAAACAGGTCATAATCCATAATCCCCAATAGGTTGTGATTCTAAGAGGTCATCATCCGTATCCCAATAGGTGAGTCTCCACTATGGAATGAACACCGTTTGACACCATTTTCGCTACCATGGGTCCGTGCAAGCTGTAGTTCAATGACCCATTTGACATCATGGCTCCATGCTATATAATCCTGGAAGTTGTAGTTCAGTGAGCCATCAAAAACTCTTTGGCAGTGAAGACGAGATAGAGATCTTGTAAAATGAGAACTCCATGGTTCCATATCCTTGCGCCATGGAAGGGATGCATTAACTCAAGGCATGGGCCAACTTGGGCCTGCCTCCAGGTGTTTTGGACTTCAACTCCCACAATTCCTAACAGCCGGTAGGCTGTTAGGAATTGTGGGAGTTGAAGTCCAAAACACCTGGAGGAAGGCTCAAGTTGCCCATGCCTGCTCTCCAGAGTAGATACAGTGATCTCCAAAGTGGAAAAAAGCATACTCTGTCAAGATGGCTAAGACACACTCTCTCAGCCTCAGAGGAAGGCAAAAGCAGCTCTCCCCCCACTGAATCAATGGCCAAGAAGCCCCCATGGTAGGTTCCCCATAAATGGGCTTGGAGGCCAACTCTCTCCCAATTCCCGGGGAGAGCCTCCTTGGCGGAGGGCGGGGCGAGGAAGGCTGTGTGGAGCCGCCTTTGCGGGGTTCTTTCTTGGAACTCGGCGCAACTCCTTTCGAAGCCCGAGGCTGGAGGCTGTTAGTCCTCCTCTTCAAGCCCTTTCTCTCCTCCTTCTCTCTTCTCCTCTCCTCTTCCCTCCTCCTCTCCAACATGTCGCTGACGGGGGTCCAGCCGAGCAAGGAGTCCATGGGCGACCGCAGAAGCAGCCTCGGTGGGTCCAGGAGCCATCCAGAGCCACGCTTCCTTCGCCCCCCTTGGCCTCTCCGCACACACCCCTTCTCGGCCCCCCCCCCCTTTTTTATTCTACTTGGTTACTCTTGTCCGTCTTCTGGTCACATCGAGGGCTGGGCGAGATGCACAGCCTTGGAGGGCTGGGCGAGATGCACAGCATGGGCCAACTTGGGCCCTCCTCGTGGTTTGGACTTCAACTCCCTCAAGGCTGTTAGGAAATGTGGGAGCTGAAGTCCAAAACACCTGGAAGGCCCAAGTTTGCCCGTGCCTGGTGGATACTCTCCTCAGCTTCCCTCATGTGATGCAATCAATCCAGCTGCCATCCCACTGTCCCCATTTTTTTTAAATGCCCCAGTTTCCTTCTCCTCTGCTGGCTTTAGTTGCTGCAAGCCTGGCTTTTAAAGCAGTTCAAAGTGAGAAAAGATGCATCGGTAAAGTTTTATGTAATTCAAAAATACTAGATGTAAATACTTATTTATTTGTCGTATCAGGAGCGAACCAAGAGTGCAATTGTGATGTATTTGAGAAAACCACAAAGTTTAAAAATCTGGCATGATACAAAGTGTCCTCTGACCAGGAGATGGCCACTTGAAGTGCCTCTGGTGTCTCTCAGGATGTATCTGCACTGTAGAAGTAATGCAGTTTGACACTACTTTAACTGCCTTTTTTATTGTGACAGAAGCAAATTGGGTGTACAGGTGTAATGTATTTAAAAACACAACATTAAAAACTTGGCATTATACTAAATGTCCTTTGACCAGTATCTGGCCACTTGGAGTGCCTCTGGTGTTGCTATAAGAAGGTCCTCCATTGTGAATGTGGCAGGGCTCAGGATGCATTGTAATAGGTGGTCTGCGGTCTGCTCTTCTCCACACTTGCATGTTGTGTACTCCACTTTGTGGCCCCATTTCTTAAGGTTGGCTCTGCATCTCGCGGTGCCAGCGCGCAGTCTGTTCAGCGCTTTCCAAGTCACCCAGTCTTCTGTGTGCCCATGGGGAGTCTCTCATTTGGTATCAGCCATAGATTGGGGTGCTGGATTTTCGCCTGCCACCTTTGGACTCTCACTTGCTGAGGTGTTCCTGCGAGTATCTCTGTAGATCATAGAAACCTATTTCTTGATTTAAGGCATTGGCGTGCTGGCTGATATGCAAACAGAGGATGGGCCAGAGATGTCACTGCCTTGGTCCTTTCATTATTGGCTGCTACTTCCCGGTGGATGTCAGCAATACCAGCTACACAGTATTATTTTTCCAGTGGTGTAGGGCACAGACAGCCTGTGATAATGTAGAAGCGACTTGCAGCATGTAAATACTTGACTAGCTTCTACAGTGCATTGTAACCATCATTTGGCACAAAGATATCAAATACTGAATTGAAATAATAGGAAGGAGGGCTTTTATCTTGTATGAATTGAACATGTAATTCTTCGCTCATTGAACTCTGGTTACTGTAGAAAACATAATCCTGTTTGGTGTAATACAACCATGGTTGAACTGAGGCAGTGTGATGTCACTTTAGCTGCAATTTGTCAATACTGTGAAATCTCAGGATTTCTAGTCTGGTGAGGCACCAGCACTCTTTGTCAGAGAAGTCTACAGATTTTGTAAAAACAACCATTCCCATGAGTCCATACTATAGCATAGAGTCATGGAAATTAAAGTAGTGTCAAACTGCATTAATTCTGCAGTGTAGATGCACACTTGGTTTTGTTATGCCAAAAAGAATTGTTTTTCCTACAATATTATTATTGGGTTGCTGTGAGTTTTCCAAGCTTATGGCCATGTTCCAGAAGCATTCTCTCCTGAGGTGGCTGCCTTAGTTGTGGGTGAAACGTCAGGCGACAATGCTTCTGGAACATGGCCATACAGCCCGGAAAACTTTGCCATAGATGTGAGTGAAACGTCAGGAAAGAATGCTTCCGGAACATGGCCATACAGCCCAGAAAACTCACAGCAACTCAGTGATTCCAGCCATGAAAGCGTTCGACCTCACAATATTGTTATTAGTATGTTTCCTTATACCCTGCTTTTCTCTCCAACAAGGAGACTCATCCAGAGTTCAGTGAGGAAAGAGACAAACCATTCCGTTCATAAGAAGTAAAAGCCCTCTTTTCTTTTCTTTCCATTCAGCAGGTGGAGAATGGCACTGAACTCTGATCATGTTACACAGTGGAAGCTATCTAAATTCATGTCTGCCATCACTTCTAGTATTTCTTAATTACATAAAATCTGATGGCTCGAACTTTACTTTTGGTGCAATGAAAAAGTAATTGATATCATTGGGATTTGTATTTCTCATTTGCAAAGATTGTTTATTTATCTTGTATTGCAGAGAAACTTAAATTTGTGGGTTGTTGTAGGTTTTTCCGGGCTATATGGCCATGTTCTGGAGGCAATTTTTCTCCTGACGTTTCGCCTGCATCTATGGCAAGCATCCTCAGAGGTAATGAGGCCATATAGAACATGGCCATATAGCCCGGAAAAACCTACAACAACCCATGGATTCCGGTCATGAAAGCCTTCGACAAAACTTAAATTTACTTGTTTTTGACAGTGGCTGACATTTTCTTACACTCTTTTTATGTTCTTGGAAATTCCACACATAGGGAGCATAAGACCTCGACTGACTCATAGTAGAGAACTAGAAATGAAAACTTCCCTTCAGGAGCTACTGATCTACATCATTTTTCTAACAGATCTGTGTATATGTAAGTCTGTGAAAATTGGGTAATTTTCTAGTTAACCTTGCACATAAATGCTATTTTGCGTCATGTTGTGGTAGGTTTTTTTTAAAAAAAACAAAAACTATAATAAATATTCAACTTGCATAGAAAAAAAGTTATAAAATTAGGGCATGCCATCTATTAGTGTGGTTTTTCTTTGTTTGGAGCAGTGATTCCCAAATGCTGGTCTTCCAGGTGTTTTGGACTTCACTCCCAGAAGCCTCAGCTGCTTTGGCCAAAGATCAGGGATTCTGGGAGCTATAGTCCAAAACACCTGGAAGACCAAAGTTTGGAAAACACTGGTTTAGACTTTTAATTATTAAGGATAGGACTGAGTGATTATTAGGATGGAAAATTGATTTGTAGTTGCTAAAAATGCAAGAAAGTGGGTCTTTAGTTGTAAATCTGTTTGTCCATTCTGAACCCTATGGAGAAAAATAGCAGGTAGAGGACTAAAAGGACGGTTCTACTCAGAGATCGGAGAGAAGGAGGAATGTTAATGCCATAGTCAAGAAATGCAGAAAATATGCTGCCACTTACCAAGGATGCATCTACACTAGCATTAATACAGCTTGACACCACTTTAGCCGCCATGGCTCAGTGTTGTTGAATCCTGGGAGCTGTAGTTTGATGAAGCAGCAGCACTCTTTGGCAGAGAAGGCTACAGACCTTGTCAAACTACAACTCCCAGGATGTCATCGCATTGAGCCATGACAGTTAAAGTGGCATTAACTCTACGGTGTAGCTCTACCCTTGATGGGAAGCACCTACTTGTCATAGTTTATGAGCCAGTCACAATTTATAAGCAAGATCAGACTTGTTTTCTCCTGCACAAACTATTGCAATGATCTTTAAAATGAGAAAAGTGTCAAGTATCAACAAGAATAAGGTGCATGGACTGAGCTCTTCCTGATTCCTCTCTTTTCAGTAACATTTGGGATGGTGAGCACCGATATGTACTACCTGAATAAAGTTATGTCCAATCTCTTCCTGGAAACACCTTTATCTGATACAGATAAGACCGATTTCACAACCATGGGCAGCATTACGGACTATTGGGAGGTAAAGTTCTTATTCTGTACTATTGTTATTCAGAGAATTAGGGGAGGACATATTTAAAAGGATATAGGCAGTGTACAAGCTGCTTGTATAAACCAATGGCTTCATGTCTTTCTTCAGTGAGCAAATTTTAAACCATACACAAAAAAGGACCTTCCAATAATCTATGTCCAACAGCATGTTTGTCTCTTACATCAACATGTTTCAAACCAGAGTCAATCTTGCTTAGCAGGTGATCTGTATTAGGAGCCCTAAACCTTTTTAACGGTCCCTCAGACTGTTGGAGGGCTAGACTACAGTTTGAAAAAACCACAAACAAATTCCTATGAATACTGCACATATCTTATTTATTAAAAAAAAACAACCCTTGAAAGAACAATACAGTATTTAAAATGAAGAATAATTGTAACCAACATAAACTTGCAAGTGTTCCAATGGGAAGTATGGGCCTGCTTTTGGCTGATGAGAGAGTCAAGTTAATTAGGATTGTTTGTGTTGTGTGCCATCAAGTTGTTTCAGACTTAGGGCAACCCTAACTCAAGTTTATGGCAGGGGCCAGATAAGTGACTTTAGGCCTCAAACCAAGACTGTGGGGCTTAATTTGAGGGCCCCTGATCTGTATTATCATTGTTGATAGATATTATCAACTTATCTTTAAGCTAGGCTTAAAATCAGCCCCTTCATCTCCCAGATAGGTGGTTGGTCCTCTCTCGGTTTCTCACTACTATGATTCTTTCATGCACATAATTTTGCTTTGTGGTTTCCTTAATCCACTGCTATTCTGTCACTGTTTTTTCCCCCCAAACAGCTCTATGAAGATGTGTCGTCAAAAAGTTTCATGACCAGAATTACTGGGTTTCTGTGAGTTTTTTGGGCTGTATGGCTGTGGTCCAGAAACATTCTCTCCTGACATTTCGTCCACATCTATGGCAGGCATTCTCAGAGGTTGTGAGGTCTGTTGGAAACTAAGGAAGTGAGGTTTATATATCTGTGGAATGACCAGGGTGGGAGAAAGAACTCTCATCTGTTTGAGGCAGGTATGAATGTTGCAATTGGCCAGCTTGATTAGCATTGAATAGCTTTGCAGCTTCAAAGCCTAGCTGCTTCCTGCCTGGAGGCATCCTTTTTTGGACATTTTACAGATATATAAACCTCACTTGCCTGGTTTATTTATTTATTATTTATTTATTTCCATTATTTCTATCCTGCCTTTTTCAAGCCCAAAGGCAACTCACGGCAGCTTACAAATTGGCATCAATTTGATGTCATAACAATTCACAAGATAAAATTAAAAACACTTAAAACAACATTATGAAAACCATACAAGGTTTCCAACAGACCTTACAACCTCTGAGGATGCCTGCCATAGATGTGGACGAAACATCAGGAGATAAAATGTCTGGAACATAGCCATCCAGCCCAGAAAACTCACCACAACCCAGCTCTATGAAGTTGACGTTTAAAATGAAAGTAATGAATGGCATGTAGTGGTGTTGTCTCTAGCTTTTATTGAGGGTGTAATGAAAATTGTATTTTAATAGCAATCTTTGCCATTACTTCATCGGTCTACTAAGTAATTCAAAGGGTGTTTTTGTAAGTGTTGTGACAGTAGCTTTTCAAGGACTCTCTTATCAATTCTAAGCATTTCTTACCACAAAGCTAATAGAAAGAAAAAAGAACAGTAATGAGCCTTTCTGCAAGTAAAACAATGAGTTAATCATCCCTTATTTAAAATATGCCAAAATTGTCCACTTAATACTTTTGCTTTCTGATAATTCTGTGTACACAAATGTTGTCAAGCCATGAGGAGAGGCGGGCAAGACATTTATTATTATTATTATTATTATTATTATTATTATTATTATTATTATTAGATGCACAACAAATTTTGTACACAACAAACAAGATCACTATGCTGGCTTTTGTATTCGATCACACGTCTGACACTTCCCAAGGACTGTATGATGTATCAGTGAATAGTGTGTGCAAATCCAAGTAAGGTGACCTTTTGCACCTGACAGATGGTAATTTTGTCAGCACCGATTATTTTTAAGTGCAGACCAAGGTCTTTAGGCATTGCACCTAGTGTGTCGATCACCACTGGGACCACCATACTGGCTTGTGCCAATCTTTGCATTGTTGTTGTAGTTTCATGGACTAAATCATTAAAATTTACAGTATAAAATTACCTTCAGGGTATGTGTATAAGTTGTATATGAATCAGAAATAAATTCCATGTTTAGACTTGGGCTCTATTTCCAAGATACCTCATTATGTACTAAATGCAAATTGAGGTATTCCAAAATTCCTCTCCCCTCAAAAAATCTAAAACACTTTTGTTCCCAAGCATTTCTGATTAGGGATACTCTACCCTGTAATGAGTAACAGAAATGGGTTACTTTGGAAATATTGTAATGAATGACTGATGGAATTACTGTGGAAATGCAACTTTCCAAGCTTTGGATCAGAAATCTTCATCTTCCTGGCTTATTTAGGATAATGATGGGAGGATTGTTGCATAGCAGTTAATAATATAACAAGGTTTAAGTGGATTACTCCACCCCTAATCATTGTCATTGCCTGCTTCCTTAATTGGTATAATTTACTCCTGAACAGGCAGCATCTGTTTCATATTCCTTATTATTTATGTAGTGTTTTTCACCAATGTTCATGTGCAAAATCATATAAATTGTTATACTAGTCCTGAACATACCTTTGAGACTTCAAAAGAAGAGAGCAAGGGATGATGTAGGGGCGTTGATGTGTTTTGAAGGTTAAATTTGTGTAGAAAAGATAAGTAGTTGGTTGCAAGACCCTTTGACCTCAGTAAGAGTTACCTCTAAGCAGACATTTTCAAGACTGCTCTTTAAATGGAATTGATGGCATCTTTGAAAATATAGTAATATCAAAGCACGCTATATGCCCTACTTTGCAGGTTAAATATATTGATTTTGTTATGGCAGTGTCAATAAATGTATAAACATGAATAGCCTTTTGACCAAGCTGTAATGCTCACTGCATTTCTAGCTTTTGCCAAAGACTTCAAACAATTTTAAATATGAAATAAGAGTACTAATTACTGACTTCGTTCTGTACAATGAAACATTAATCTCTGTTTATTTTGTGTGATGTAGTTTCTAGAAGGACCACTTCTGGATGGCCTTTTTTGGAACACATGGTACAATACCAATTCCACATCTATACATAAAAACAGCAGCCACATCTACTATGAGAACTTGCTGTTAGGAGTACCTCAGATTCGGCAACTAAAAATCCGTAACAACACATGTTCGATCTATCCCTCTTTCCGGGCATTTATGAAAGTCTGTTATGGTCAATATCGGTATGTATATGAGGACAGAGAAAGCTTTGGCCTCAAGAATGATACTGAGTAAGTATAGAAACATTCAAACTTCCATGCTTTTCTCTAATAATAACAAAGTATTTTTGTTATTTAAAATAATAAGATTAGCAAGGGGATTGCTTTCTTGGGAAGCACTGGGAAATCACTTTACTATATTGTGGGGTCTAAATTATCAAAATTGTATGTCCATGCTACTTAAAGTATCAGAAGTTTAAATTAAATAAGCTCAAGTAATGATATCCTGCTGATTTCACCTGCATAAATTATTATATCAGGCCAAATGCCAGCCTAGTACTCCCTCCTTCCCAAGTAATTTGAAGATTTATGTGGCCAATTAGCCATTGTTTACTGTTATGTTTGAATAAGGGAGCTGTAGCTACTAGGAGTAGAACAAATTAGGGGAATAAACCAATTGCAAAGTACTGTTTCAGATCTGGTTTGTTCTTACTTTATAACTATTGTTCCTGGTTCTTAAAAGTGTGTTTACAAAACAAACACCCAACTCCTATTGGGTAAAATGTTCTCTCTTGGAATCACACTGGAGGACCTGAGAAAATACCTCTCTAGGAATCTCTAAGGGCCTTTCTACACAGCCCTTTATCCCAGAATATCGAGGCAGAAAATCCCACAATATCTGTTTTGAACTGGGTTATCTGAGGCAGGATCCAGACAGCCCTTTATCCCAGGAGAATCCATGTTTTAAAAAATGCGGATTTTCCTGGGTGGCCTGTCCACACTCATCCCAGAAAGCGTGCACTTTCTGGGGTGGATGTCCAGACATTATCTTGGGACTAGCCCGAGAGAATGTCTGGAAGCCCTCCACCCCAAGCCCCCAGACCCTTTTGAAAAGTTTTAAAAAAACTTACCTGGCCTGCAGTATACTTGCGGAGCAGCTTTCCCTGCACGTACAAATGATGTGCCAGGAGAGCGCGGGGGGGGGGGGGGGGTCATTCCAGGTCTGGCAGCTTAGGGGGAGGGGTGGGTATTCTTCCAATTTAATGGGCTTATCTAGCCTGGCAAACTATGGGAATGTTGTCTGGACTGTAGTCCAGATACCGGAAGTGGTGACCTTATCCCGCGCCTTCCAAGAAGGTGCAGAATAAATCAACAATCTAATTAATTCGCTACAAACCAGGGTTTTACTGGTTTGTAAAGAATTAATTTGGGACTATCCAGAACATTGTCTGGACAGCCCCTCCTTTATTGCGGTAAATACCACAATAAAGGTACTGTCTGGATGGGATCTGAGTCCACACTCAGATAATGTGGGATTTTCTGCCTTGGTATTCTGGGATATAGGGCTGTGTGGAAGGGCCCTAAGTCAGAAGTTAGCCATAAAGTTGTGCTAAAGATTTCTAGAGAGATGTTCTCTTAGAGTAAAGAAAAAATGACAATTCTTCAAAGAGGGGACACAATTTATGTAATTTGTGTGAATGAATTTTAGAGTCACAGAGTAGACATGAAGATCTTAATCTGGATCAGAACCCTGTTGGGCAGGAGGGAGTTACCTCTGTGCGCTGTACTGCGGTTCCATCCTGGATCATCCAGGTCTCTTATGTTGGTGCTTTGTCTTGGAGCAGTGGTTCTCAACCTGGGGTCCCCAGATGTTTTTGGCCTACAACTCCCAGAAATCCTAACAGCTGGTAAACTGGCTGGGATTTCTGGGAGTTGTAGGCCAAAAACATCTGGGGACCCCAGGTTGAGAACCACTGTCTTGGAGGAAGAACTTTGACATCAATTGCCAGTTTTCTACCTGATGTGAGTTCCAGGTGTTCCACCCACTATGCATTTGAATTCAAATTCATAACCCAGTTAGTCTGGAATATCAGTATTCAAAAGGATCTTGTAACATTTTTAGAGATTAACTGAGAGACAAGAATTGTAGCATAAGTTTCCATAGAACTGAGGAAGTATGAGATTTAAGATGCATCTGTGCTGTAGAATTAATGTAGTTTGACACTGATTTAACTGCCATGGCTCATTGCTATGAAATCATGGGAGTTTCAGTTTTACAACTCTACTATTTTTCTTAAGACATTCAAGGTGCTTTTTAAAAGTGCACCTACATTGGATGATGAATGCAATTCGATATCACTTCAGTGATCATGGCTAAAATGCTGCGGAATTGTGGGAGTTTCAGTTTGAATAGATCTTTAGCCTCCTTTTGCCAAACAGTGTTGGTGCCTCACCAGACTACAATCCCCAGGGTCCCATAGCATGGAGCCATGGCAGTTAAATTGGTGTCAAACTGCATTAATTCAAGATTGTAGCTTCACCTGTTATCTATGCTACCAACCTTGTTCTCTCAGGGCCCTTCCAAACAGGTCCTATATCCCAGGATTTGATGCCAGGTTTTCTGTTTATTCCAGATTATCTGGCAGTGCGGACTCATATAATCCAGTTTAAAGCAGAAAATCTGGGATCAGATCCTGTGATATAATGCCTGTCTGGGGGCCCTTCCACACAGCCCTATATCCCAGGGTATCAAGGCAGAAAATCCCACAATATCTGCTTTAAACTGGGTTATCTGAGTCCACACTCAGATAATGTGGGATTTTCTGCCTTGATATCCTGGGATATAGGGCTGTGTGGAAAGGCCTTGGAAGGGTACTCAGTCTCAAGGGTGCTACAAGATCCTTTTGCATATTTAGTTTAAATAATCAGGAAGTTGGGATTGACAGATGAAAACGTTAGAAGAGTGCTACCTGTGAACTCAGGCATGCCCTTCTCATCCCATCAACAGATGGTTTTATTCTTCCTCTCAAACGTTGTCTCCATGGCACTGGGGCCTTATTGGTCTGTACGGCAGCGGGGGATTTATGTTCACCTTGCCCAAGTCAAAGGAAAAAAGTCTGGAGAAGCTCTTGTTTCTCAAGAAACATAGCTGGATCACTAGAGGGACAAGGGCCATCTTCATTGATTTTTCAATGTATAATGCCAATGTAAACCTCTTCTGCATAGTCAGGTGAGTTTTTCCATTCTCTATTCATGAAATCTCATAGTCAAGAACTTCTAATGTTGCACGTACCTACTCAAGACTTGTCTGAGGGAGTTCCAAATCATAAGGTTTTGTGAAACAATCATGTCTGCATGAAGCTTCCATGTTGCTCCATCCTTCATGTAAATAATAGTTACAGACGGGTGCCAGGAGCGTCCACACTCCTCTCTGCTCCCTCCTGGGAAGTCCTATTTCTCTGTTGCTTTTTCCTCTTTCCTATATTGGGTTTGGTCCTTGGGGCACTTACTGACTTTGGTCCAGGTCTTATTCTACAAGTCTTGCCTTCCCAAACAGTCCTCAGTACTATCTCACTCCCATAGGCTGTTAGTAAGTGTGTGTGTTGAAGTCCAAAACACCTGGAGGACCAAAGTTTGCCCCATGCCCAATCTAACCTCTGATGGAATTAAGGTACCAACGAGCTATCCCAGTATTTACTTACTTAGGCAGTCCTTCATAGCCGGAGAATGATGATTCTCTAAGTGTAGTATCTTGGCGGTGGGTCCGTAGGTAGCTGTGGAGCCCTATTCTTGATCTGCATATTCTCCCGCAGTGAGGACATCAGCTTCTAGGTGGAAGGCAGTCCCGGCCAGGGTTGGCTTGATGCGCCTTCCTCTTGGCACATTTCTCCCTTTTGCGCTCCAATCGTGCCTCTTTGAATTCTGCAGCACTACTGGTCACAGCTGACCTCGAGTTAGAGTGCTCAAGGGCCAGGGCTTCTCAGTTTTCAGTGTCTATGCCACAGTTTTGAAGGTTGGCATAGTATAAATATACCATCTACATACATGCCAGAATATTTTAAAAATGAAAATGAGTACCCAGCAATTATAAGGAAGCTTCAAATTTGTTGATATGGATAATTCATTGGAAACATCAATTCATTTTTTTTGCTACTGTGAAAAAGGCAGATATAAAAATCGATAGTACAGCCACATTTGGAATGCCATGCACTGTATTTTATGTACATCTGGTTGCCTTAAGTTCCAGCTTTACAAAATCAAAAGGAGGAACCCAGAATTTTCACTGAATTAGAATAACAGCTGTTATTGGATCCAGTACAGCAGATTATTCTTAAAATCAGGAGAGGAGGGGATTAACCCATCCTAATATCTTTCAGGGTTGTATCAAGGGGAAAAATGATTTTAAAGAATAAAGTTTAGAGCGATCCTCCTTTGAGATACTCAGACAACATCCTGGTTTATTTTAATTTCACAGGCTAATTGTGGAATTCCCGGCAACAGGTGGAGTAATCCCTTCCTGGCAGTTCCACTCTGTCAAGCTCCTCCGATATGTCTCCTATTATGATTATTTCCTGGCCTCTTGTGAAGTCATCTTTTGCCTTTTCATCTTCGCTTTCATCATTCAAGAAATTACAAAAGTGAGGAAGCTGAAAAAAGAGTATTTTAAAGATGCCTGGAACTGGCTGGACATGTTACTGATCCTGGTAAACCTCACATGTTTATATATTTTAAAAATATTTTTGGACCAGTGTGAGTAGAGGGCGAGAGACAAATGGGGATGTAGAGTCCACCCTCACTATGTTCTGGAGCTGGTGGTTACATAAGTAGTTGCACTAGGCTGGACTTTTCCATTTTCAGAACTTAGCCTCCTTTTCCTGAGTCTCAGGCCACTTCTACATTGCCCTATATCCCAGGATCTGATCCCAGATTATTTTCTTATCCCAGATTATATGGCAATGGAGACTCATATAATCCAGTTCAAAGCAGATAGTCTGGGATCAGATCCTGGGATATAGGGCAGTGCAGATCCAGCCTCAGATGAAGGAAACAGTGAGAGTATATACACATACACATATGCACACAGAGGGATGGAGAGAATACTACAAGACTCCAAGGTTGTTATGTTGATTTCTGAACTTTTAAATTGAAGATGCTGGACATTTTAACTTAGATGTGTGAATTTGTTGGTTGAAATAAAGGATTCTGTGGAGTAAGTGACCACTGTACATGTTTGTGATGGATATCATCACCTCAACATCCTTTAATAGCTCCTGTGCTTTAGGATAGGGTTTCTTAATTTTTTCCACTCACGACTCCTTTCTACCTGAGATTTTCTTTTACGTGACCCCAGGTTTGTAGGTGTATAAAATAGGAATAAAAATCAAACATTGACTCATAACAAACCAGCATTTGTAAGGCTTGCTAAACGGGCTGATTTTCCTTTTTGTGGGGTACAGCTGAAGCATTTTCTGCAGACTCCACTGTAAACACTACATAGTGTAGCTGAACAGATTTGTGTTCCCAGTTACTGTATTTGCAAAAGTACAAATAATGAATAAACTAATAAAAATTTGCCACAAGGGGGCAGTGTTGTCAACCCAGAATGCCATTCTCAACAAATCAATGGTCAAAACAAGTCAAGTTCTGTTCAGAGTTAGTCTCCCAATTTTCAATTCTACGTGGTAATGAAATAATGTTTAAGCCTACCATTCAAAGCTCTGTAATAGATTGTAGAAATTATTTTCCTTTGCATATATTCCTTTTCTGTAGGGCCCTAGTATTGTAGCAAAACCAGTTTTTTATGCCAAGAGACAAACTGAAAATAGGAACAAAATTTATATCTAACTGAATTAAGAAAAGAAAATTGTGGTTGCTTCAGAGAAAGACATGCCCAGGCTCTTTCACTTAACACCTCCCAACAAAGGATTCCCCCAGGCAGGAAGCAGCCAGGCTTTGAAGCTGCCAGGCTATTCAATGCTATTCAAGCTAGCTAATTGCAACATTTACACTTGCCTCAAACAGTCAAGAGGTCTTTCTCCCACCCTGGACATCCCACAGATATATATATAAGCCCCACATGCTTAGTTTCCAACAGACTTCACAACCTCTGAGGGTTCCTGCCATAGATGTGGGCAAAACATCAGGAGAGAATGCTTCTGGAACATGGCCATACAGCCCAGAAAACTCACAGTAGCCCAGTGATTCCGGCCATGAGAGCCTTCAACAATACTCTTTCATTTAATTTCACATGGTTTCAAACGCCATCATCCTTCACTCACTTTTGTTGTTTCAGCGCCACTCCCAGCTTTTTTCCTCTTTGCAGAAAATTCATTAAGGGGAAGACAGAATAGTTGCTTATCTGTACCTTCAAGTACCTGTCGACTTACGGCAACCACAAAAATTTCTTTGTGTCTGTTGTTCTTCTCCTTCTTTTGCCCATCTCTCCCTGGTTTGAGATGGAGAACAAGCACAGATTAAAATTGTTAGTGTGAGGAGCTTGCTGTCTGGAGATGCTCAAAAGTCAAATTTTGCGATTAGTGCTTGTATTCAGTGAAGGGGTGCAACATAGTTTCTGTATAATTGACAGTAAATCCATCATTTACAAATTTATTAGTATGTTTTTCTGGCTTCCATTGAAGGAAAGATGTTGTACACTCCCCAGGTATCATATTGTTTTATTGTCAAAATAATGTGGCTGTTGTTGTTGTTGTTGTTGTTTATTTGTAATCCACCCTATCTCCCTAAGAGGACTCAGGGCAATTTCCAACAGAAAAAAATGGCAATTATTCAATTACATCACTCTAAATGATTCCAGGACACACTAAACCTATTCCAGTTTTAATATCAGCTTGATCTGGCTTTCAACACACACACACACACATGAATCCTCCTCACATTGCCAACATGATGTTATTTCAATACATACTTGACCTTAGGCCATAAATGACTTATTTTTCTTGATTATAGTTTTGAAAAGTTGATTAACTACAGGCGGAGGAAAACTGTGTGTGAAAAATCTAGATTGGATCCTTACAAACCTTTGTGATCTTTTTTCTGTCTAGTTGTCCGTTTTTGCTATTGCCTTCAATGTTTACCGGACGGTCGAAGTGTCCGAGTTAATGGAAAAATTGCTGTCCAATTCAGAATCTTATCCAGACTTCTATTTTCTTGGATTCTGGCAGACCCGTTATAATAATATGATTTCAGTGAATGTCTTCTTTGCATGGATAAAGGTAACCAAGCCAAGTAACCATGTTATATTTTTATGCAACTTGGAGCAAAAAGTCTATATTTGGTTCTTTTGGGGTGAGGCGGGGGAGGCTCTTAACATTTGATTGTTCCTGTGGTCCCAGTCCAGATACTGGACCCCTTGCAATTGCTATTCATATTGCCCTAAAGCAAAGCATTTCCTGTCAATATCTCACTTTTAGGCAATCTGGATTGTAAACTAGGGCCCCCATGATCCAGATCAGCGCTACAGAATAGGGAGCAAGGAAGGACTGAAACACCTCTGCTCTATTTAATAGGGCCATGCATCATTTGACATGAGGGTTAACAATTGCCTATTTGCGTCTTTCATTCTCAAGTTTTACAAAATACAGGTCTATTACTACAGTTTGATTATCCTTTATCCAAAATATGTGGGACTAGACATGTTTGGGGTTTCAGATTTGTTCAGATTCTGGAATATTTGCATGTACATCATGAGATTGTGGAGATGGGACTCAAGTGTAAAGATAACATTCAGTTATACTCATAACCTGAAGGTAATGTTATGCACAATATTTGTAACAATTTTGTGCATGAAACAAAGTTTATGTACATTGAACCACCAGAAAGCAAAGGTGTAATTTTCTCAGCTTCCCATGTGGACAATTTTGGTTTTTTGAGCAGTTCTGACTTCCAGCTAAGGGATACTCAACCTGTATTTATGCATTTTCACAAATAAGTGACTGTTGCTTTAAACATTTCCTTTTAAAGTCAGTCTTTATGGCAGTGGTTCCTAGCTTGCAGTCCATGGACCACCAGTGGTCCTCAAGCACTAAAATATGGTCTGCTTCCTCACCATCACTACACTGTTGCAAGAAGAACAACTGGCCTCGCAAAATAATGCCAAGGCTTATTAAATATGATTTTCTGTATGCAAGCAGATGGCGATTACTGGATGACATATGTTCTGTATCAGAAACCAGAGCTGATGTGATCTATCCAGTGCAATTTTCTGAATCAGCACCCCAAATAACAAAACTGAATCTAAAGTTGACCAAAAACCGATTCTTAACCCTTTTGATACTAATGTTGGAGAGTGATCCCTGGTCAGGTGGTCCCTGGTCAAAAAAGTTTGGGAGCCACTGCTTTAGGAGTGGGTTTCATCCATATATTTTCTAACATGTTCTGTTGTCTTCCAGATATTTAAATTCATAAGCTTTAACAAGACCATGACTCAGTTGTCTTCTACTCTGTCCCGTTGTGCTAAAGACATCATTGGATTCGCCATCATGTTCTTCATCATCTTCTTCGCATATGCCCAGTTGGGATACCTGGTGTTTGGATCACAAGTGGATGAATTTTCCACTTTTCAGAATTGCATGTACGAAGTCCTCATATCTGCCTAGTACCTAGCATGATAAATTTGATCATGGCATACCATGTTATCTTCCTGGCTCCTCTGTACCATTATTCTTTCTTTATGTTCCAGTCATTTAAAATATTTTTTAAAACATTTAAGGGGAAGTTATGATCCTGGTGGTGATTATTTACAACTGCCTTTGCCCCAGAACTATAGCTCAGTATGACTACTATGCCTTATGGTTGGTCCCTGAAATCTAAGCATGCTGTATCTAATGTTAATTACATTATATATTTATGATGTAATACATAATATGAAGTTGCCCTTCCACATGAGCAGGCTTGACTTTAGCAGACTCAGTTAATTGCAGATTTGATTCAAATGTGTTTCTCCAGTAATCTCTAGTCCCTCCAGAGCCATTCTGTGGGTAACTCCCAATCAAAATAATCAAAATCAGTGGAAGCTGTCCATAGAGTTTAGAACCTAGACATTTCAGAAAATTATTATCTGGAGCTTTTTTTTTAATTTGTGCTGCTTCTGCTTTAAACTGGAATATATGAGTCTTCACTTCCAGATAACCTGAGATAAACAGATAATCAAGGATCAGATTCTGGGATAAAAGGGCAGTGTGGAAAGGCCCCAGGTAAAGATCTAATAATTGTGGTGATCGATTTCAATAAAACCATCTTTGCAAGTTTACCACAGGTTCCTCTTATCACTTGGTTTAGATTTAATAGATGTGATATAATGAAATGTATCATCCACTTCTATATAGGTTTACTGTGTTCATTGGAGTTTATTCTGGGTAACTCTGGATAAGATTATAGCCTCTATATAGAAAATTGTTTCTATATATTTTTTCTTTCTCTCAAGTTTTACCCAGTTCCGCATTGTGCTTGGAGATTTTAATTTTGCCAGCATAGAACACGCAAATCGGATTCTTGGGCCAATTTACTTCATCACATTTGTGTTCTTTGTGTTCTTCGTACTGCTGGTAAGTGCTATTTTACTTTCCCCCACCCCAAAGTAAACACAGTACATTAAAAAGCAAAAATAAACTACCCCCACTAAATTTGAGCTAGTGAAAAAAATAATGAAATATATTAAATGTATTAATGGTATATATGTTACAGGTTGTATCTGTCATAACATAATTAAAATTTGTTCTGCAAAACATGAGCACTAGAAAGGTAAACTTTAAAATTGATAGTGCAAGCTTATGTTTGACAGTTTAAAAAACCCATTACATTCTGTAGGACACGCAGTGCAATCCCAAATAGGGAAGACACCTTGAATCAAACCTCTATTGACTAAAATCACCAAAAGTTTGGAAGCCAAGCCCAATAAGGAGCAGCTATGGGAGCTGGGTGTGTTTAGCTTGGAGAAAAGAAGATGAGAGGGACCATGATAGCCGTGTTTAAATATTTGAAAAGATGACGCACTGAAGAAAGGGTAGCCTTGTTTTCTGCTGATCTGGAGACTTAAGTCACAGAGCAGTGGAAATTGCAGGAAAAAAGATTCCACTTAAATATTTGGAAGAACATTCTGACTGTAAGAGCTGTTCAGCAGTGGAACTCACTGCTGCAGATGTGATGGCAGCACCTCCCTTGGAGGTTTTTAAGCAGAGGTTGGATGGCCATTTGTTGGGTTGGTGTTTTGATTGGGTGTTCCTTCATGGCAGGGGGTTGGACTGAATGGCCCTTGGGATCTCTTCCAACTCTTTGATTCTGTGCATTTCAGAGTACAACTAAATTCTAGTTCACAACATTAGAACTTTCATTTATCCCATTATGTTATAAGAGGAGGGGATATTTCCCTGGAAGAGGGGTCATTTGTGTGTTTCCTTGGCTGGAAAAAGACGCAAGCACAGATATATGTACTAGCACAGATATATGTACACAGATATATCAACTACACCCCAGAGTATTGAAGGAACTAGCGGAAGTCATTTCGGAACCATTGGCAACCATCTTTGAGAGTTCTTGGAGAATGGGAGAAGTTCCAGCAGATTGGAGGAGGGCTAATGTGGTCCCAATCTTCAAGAAGGGAAAAAAGGATGACCCAAACAATTACCGTCCGGTCAGCCTCACGTCGATACCAGGCAAGATTCTGGAAAAGATTGTTAAGGAAGTGGTCTGCAAACACTTAGAAACAAATGCGGTCATCGCTAATAGTCAACATGGATTTATCAAAACAAGTCATGCCAGACTAATCTGATCTCTTTTTTCGATAGAGTTACAAGCTGGGTAGATGCGGGGAATGCCGTGGATGTAGCGTACCTGGATTTCAGTAAGGCCTTCGACAAGGTCCCCCATGACCTTCTGGCAAGGAAACTAGTCCAATGTGGGCTAGGCAAAACTACGGTGAGGTGGATCAGGAATTGGTTAAATGGACGAACCCAGAGGGTGATTCTCCCCAATGCTTCCTCTTCATCCTGGAAAGAAGTGACAAGTGGAGTGCCGCAGGGTTCCGTCCTGGGCCCGGTCCTGTTCAACATCTTTATTAATGACTTAGATGAAGGGCTAGAAGGCATGATCATCAAGTTTGCAGACGACATCAAATTGGGAGGGATAGCCAATAGTCCAGAGGACAGGAGCAGAATTCAAAACGATCTTGACAGATTAGAGAGATGGGCCAAAACTAACAAAATGAAGTTCAACAGTGACAAATGCAAGATACTCCACTTTGGCAGAAAAAAATGAAATGCAAAGATACAGAATGGGGGACGCCTGGCTCGAGAGCAGTACGTGTGAAAAAGATCTTGGAGTCCTCGTGGACAACAAGTTAAACATGAGCCAACAATGTGATGTGGCGGCAAAAAAAGCCAATGGGATTTTGGCCTGCATCAATAGGAGCATAGTGTCTAGATCTAAGTAAGTAATGCTACCCCTCTATTCTGCTTTGGTTAGACCACATCTGGAATATTGTGTCCAATTCTGGGCACCACAATTCAAGAGAGATATTGACAAGCTGGAATGTGTCCCGAGGAGGGCGACTAAAATGATCAAGGGTCTGGAGAACAAGCCCTATGAGGAGCGGCTTAAGGAGCTGGGCATGTTTAGCCTGAAGAAGAGAAGGCTGAGAGGAGATATGATAGCTATGTATAAATATGTGAGAGGAAGCCACAGGGAGGAGGGAGCAAGCTTGTTTTCTGCTTCCTTGGAGACTAGGACGCGGAACAATGGCTTCAAACTACAAGAGAGGAGATTCCATCTGAACATGAGGAAGAACTTCTGCTGTTTCATGACTGAGAGCTGTTCAGCAGTGGAACTCTCTACCCTGGAGTGTGATGGAGATTCCTTCGAAGGCTTCTAAGCAGAGGCTGGATGGCCATCTGTCAGGGGTGCTTTGAATGCAATTTTCTTGCTTCTTGGCAGGGGATTGGACTGGATGGCCCATGAGGTCTCTTCCAACTCTTTGATTCTATGATTCTATGATTCTATGTATGTGATCCTTATCTCAACAACTAAAGCTGTGCATGTTTACAATTAGTGCCATACAGACTATTGACTATTCAGCTTTTCAGGGCTGATCCCATCTCCTCTTGTTGAGTTTAGTAGTGAATTATATTATTTGGTGCTGCTTGTGTGCGTAGTAGGGTGGGTAGGTCTGTTTTAGTTCTGATTCTTCATCTTTAATTCACTATAATATAGTGAGGTTGTTAGATGTGAGTCTCTCACACTTGCATTCTAAAAATGCATCTTGCATAGAGTAAAAACTTTTCAATTTAACTGGGGGCCCTTCTAAACAGGCCCTAAATCCCAGTATTTATTTATTTATTTATTTATTTTATTGTGTCAGGAGCGACTTGAGAAACTGCAAGTCGCTTCTGGTGTGAGAGAATTGACCGTCTGCAAGGACGTTGCCCAGGGGACGCCCGGATGATTTTTGATGTGGGAGGCTTCTCTCATGTCCCCGTATGAGGAGCTGGAGCTGATAGAGGTAGCTCATCCGCCTCTCCCTGGATTTGAACCTGCGACCTGTCGGTCTTCAGTCCTGCTGGCACAAGGGTTTAACTCACTGCGCAACGGGGGGCTCCAGAATCCCAGAATGTGATCCCAGGTTTTCTGCTTTAAACTGGATTATATGAGTCTGCACTGCCAGATAATCTGGGATAAACGGAAAACCTGGGATCAGATCCTACCTATTTGGAAGGGCCCTGAGAGTCATTACTATAGAGGTCAAAGAGCTTTAGATGTGCATAAGATTTAGACATTTTTGTGCTGATAGTGTTGTCTATTTGTGTAATACTCATCAAGTTAAATCCCGCTTCTACTAGAACTCCTTTAGACTCTGAGCTTCGGAAAGATCCCTGCATCGCTCAGTATCCATGACATGGTATTTTTCTGCTGTCGAGGCATTCAGGGCTACCTCCTTGTTTCACCAGTTTCAGCACTGCTATGCTTAATAACATCTTGTTAATGAGTCAGGGAAAAAGGAGAGGAGTCAAGGGACAAGAAGGAGGGCAGGAAATGGACTGCAAATGTGCCTGGAGAGAGAGAGCTAATGTTAGAAAGGCTTCTCATTCCAGTTTATCTAATGGCTAGTCCCTCTGGTTTAGAAGATTAAATCATGGGGTGAATGGTGGCTATGAGTGTTTTCTTTTAATACTTGCTCTGCTTAAGTTGCTCCACCGGTTTATTTAATGAGACATGATGTTATCGATAACTAAGCCAAGTTGTTAATCTGAATGCAGGCATTGTAGTGAAATGCACTTATTTTTTTCTGATATGCACTGAGATTTAAGAAGATAACTAAGTTACAGCTGGGCATCACCACCTGTACAAATCAATCCATCTGTGTAGATATTGAACTAAGATATCTATGGAATAATTAATTTGAAATATATACTCACATTCATTCTCAGATAGTGTGGCGGAATGAAAATAATGTGTAGTTCACATCTTTACCAATCCACACACTGTCTTGCTATAGAAAAGATGTGCCACGCAGATTATCAGTAAATAAGATATTTACTCCTGTAATGCAGAGCAACATATAGACAGTCATGTGAACAGTTGCATTGATTCACACAATGTCCTTCGAGAGAGATTCAAATGGTCCTTAGGTGTCCATGTGAAAGGTCTTTTTCCAGCATCTCAGAAGCAGAAAAATATACTAACTTGTCCTGGCAAGTTTTTGCACATAAAATTTAAACATGTGACTCTTGCCAAAACTCCCAGGCTCAGCTAGCTTTGTGCCTGTCTGTCATGCCAAGTTTTTAGTAGATTTGCTATGAGCAAGAACACCAGGAACTTATTCACAGGCAAAGTACACTTTACACCTTTCAAGTAGGAACCTTGTATAGGACAACATTCCTTAGAGTGGATGTTTTCACACCACAAGGAGCATTGCTTGAAAAGTCTGCATTCCATAAGGCAAGAATTATCCATATTGGGCAATGGATAAATGAAACAAACAAACAAATTAATAATCAGGAACACTAGCCAACAAAGTTGCAGAGTGCCCTATTTTTGTGATGCTCTCCTAGGACATATCCAAGGGGAAATAACAGGTGCAGTCCGTATATTAATACGAAGATAGTGGAAGGAGCCAACAGCCAGTTATAAATGGTTTGTAAAATGAATAGAAACCACTTCATGCCAGGGATAAGTAAAATATAGCCTTCTTTCAACATGAATACATTTTCTTTCTTGTTTGTACCATATTGCACATTATTAGCCTCAAGTAGTTTTGGACTTACTTTTTCCTTACTTAGGCGATCCCTCATTCTCCGAGTATGATGGCCTTCCAAGTGTAGTGTCTTGGCAATGGGTCTGTAGGTGACTGTGGAGCCCTATTTTTGATCTGCAAGTTCTCCTGCAGTGAGGACGTTGGTTTCCAGGTGGAAGGTTGTCCCGGTCAGGGTTGGCTTGACGCACCTTCCTCTTGGCATGTTTCTCCCTTTCGCCCTCCATTCCTGTTTCTTTGAATTCTGCAGCACTGCTGGTCACAGCTGACCTCCAGTTAGAGTTCTCAAGGGCCAGGGCTTCCCAGTTCTTGGTGTCTATGCCATAGTTTTGAAGGTTGGCTTTGTGCCCATCTTTAAATCTCTTTTCCTGTCCACCAATATTTTGTTTCCCATTCTACTCCATTCAGAGTAGTTTTGTACTACTCTGTTTTGGTTGAATTGCTTTTAAATGAAATGGTACAGATTAGATAATTTTTAGAGCCCTACCAGTCAGCTTACCCTCTGGTTCTAAGATGATTCAAAATTCTCATTTTTTTGCACAGAACATGTTCTTGGCAATCATTAATGACACATACTCTGAAGTGAAAGCTGACTTTTCAGTTATCCCAAGCAGAGAATTTGAGATCAGTGACCTTATTAGACAGGTAAGAACCTGAAGTTGTTTTAGCACTGAAATACTGTTTACTTTGATTATGGATAGGCACTGTCAGCAGTGACTATGGAATGGCATCAGACTACAATTTTTGCATGGCGTGATTTTAATATTGAATGTAATTTTAAATTTTTAATATGTATTAATTTTAATTCAATGGATTTTAAGCTTAATGTTGTATGTGTTTAAGGCATTGAATAACTGCCGTATGTAAACCACCTTGAGTCCCCCTTGGGGTAGAGAAAGGTGGGGTATAAAAAGGATAAACAAATAATAAAATAAATTATTAAGAATGCAAACTAATGGAGAAATTTACAAATTTACTGGAGGCACAAAGAAGAAACAGCTATATTTTCCATTTTATATTAAGTTACATTACTATTTCTTTGTCCCAGCAAATTATTTTGCACTGGTTGGAGTCCAGTTAAGTTTAACATATTTTTTTCTCCAGCAAAAGGGATTATTTTGGGGCTATATAATTCAGCAGTCAGATGTGCAAATTAAGCCTATGTTGGCCTTCCTTTGGCCCATTAAAATAAAGCATGCAGCATGTGACATATATTCTTCCAGCGTGCAGAAATCTAAGAACCTGAACGTGTGCATACTTTTTTGTGATATGTTAGTTGATCATAACAAGATTTTGCCCTGATGCAATTTCCTGATATTTTCACTTAGCTCTGTTTTCATACCATTCTTAGAGTTACAACAAAGCTTTAGTTAAGCTCAGATTGAAGAGACAGACTTCACAAACAGAAGATGCATATAGCATTAAAAGGTAGGCAGAAAAACTCAGATGTTTTGCTGCTTTTGTTAATTTTCTATCCATTTAAGCTGGAACTGCTCAAGGCCTTCTTCAGCACAGGAGGGACATTTAGATAGCAGCATATTTCCACCTGAGCAGAGGCCTGTGTGAAGAAGGTAGAGCATGATGCAATGGTGGTGGAGGGAGGAAGCAGCAGCTCTGTTTTTGTTGCTGGATGCATTGAGTGCTCCTACTGGGCAGGGAAGCTCCAAGATACGTTGAGAATTAAAGTTTACCAGGGATCTAGTATGGCAACTCTACTCCTAGACCTTCTCCTTGGAGCTCTAGACCACTTCTACTCAAACTGTGGGTCCCAGATGCTCAATTAGGCAACAATAAAAAGTCTTCTGAACATCGGGTTGTTGTAGGTTTTTCAGGCTATATGGCCATGTTCTAGAAGCAATCTCTCCTGACATTTCACCTGCATCTATGGCAAGCATCCTCAGAGGTTGAGACCTCACAACCTCTGAGGATGTTTGCCATAGATGCAGGTGAAACATCAGGAGAGAATGCTTCTAGAACATGCTTATATACCCCGAAAAACCTACAACAACCCAGTGATTCGGTCATGAAAGCCTTCGACAATACTTCTGAACATCACTTAGTGGCTATTTTAGACATTTTCACGAATCTGTTGTGCAGTGTTTAAAGTGGACTCTGAAGAAGTCATTTTGGTCATATTTCAAAGAAAGAAAAACATCCTGTTTAACCAGCCTTCCAAATGCTGGTTAGGTTATCAGTAAATGCTTGCTTTTTATACCTATTTTGTATACCTATATTCCCAGGGTCATGTAAAAAGTTCTCAGGCCAAAACTGGTCCCAGGTGAAAAAGTTTAAGAAGCCCTGATGTAAGCTCCCCCAGTAAGAAACAGCAACCCCTCCTGGATTTTGGCAGCTGTGTGAATGTTGAAGAAATAGAGACATCCACAAGCATAAAAAACATTCAATGTGTCCGTGGGTGCCTGTAATGGGATTCTGGCCTGCAATTTTTCTTATGCTGTAGAGCTTAGCTTCCATGTAAGCAGTAGGCTCAACTCTGGATAATTACAGGGGAGAGAAAAATCAAAGAGAATTGTTCACTGTCACAATGATACATGGTTTGTTGAAGTCAGTTGGCAAAACATATGGAAGGTGGTTGCCCAAGTTGGAAAAAGAAGTGAGAATCAAGGCCAGAATAGATATATTGTGAAATGCATGATAGCCATTATAGATCAATGGCCATTTTCCTGATTATTTCTAAGCTCACCCTACCCTGACTGTAGTGTTGCTCCATTGGCCATTGGATGTGCATGATGGGAATAGAGCTCCTCTAGAAGACATCTGGAGATTCGGAAAGGCAGCTGTCGTCAGAATGGATACATGATGTGTGATTGTTGCGTTCAGTGTTTCCTAGCTTGTTACACCATTTCCTTTGGTTGCTCTACACCAGGCATGGGCAGACTTGGGCCATCCAGGAGTTTTGGACTTCAACTCCCACAATTCCTAACAGCCAAGGCTGTTAGGAATTGTGCTCTACACAAAGCATTAGAGAATGCTGAACATAAATGATATTTTGTTGTGCATCTGCTTGAGATAGATAGCAAATATTTAAGATGGGAGAAGTGCATTGGCTATATTTTCTGTTAACATCTAGCTTGGCCCTTAAATTTATGTGACAAAGCAGTCACCTTCACACAAAACTACTTAGGTCCTGGGCTTACTCTCAATTTTTCAGAGAGTTTCGGTGAGAGAAAGTTTTCCCCCAAAAAGAAATTTAATTTCATGTCTATTTCACTCAGGTTTTCATTTAAAAAATATTACTTTACCCATATCTTCTACTTCCAGAGAAGATTCATGAAACTGTATTTAACATGGGTTGTTCTTGTTGTATTTTTCTTTCATGCCCGTTAGAAAGGGACAGTCCGCAAGCAGAGTTGATGTGACCAAATCTTTTCACAAAGTAAGTAGTATGAATAGAGTAAGAGTCGTGTGCACCTGTTTTCCACCCTTGAACTCAGTCCAAGTAGCAAAACAACAAAGAAACAGCATGGATTGGCACTTTTGTATAAAATGAATCTAAATGTTAATGCAGATTGATAAATATAAAATATTAATTTATAAATAAGAAATATTTTTATGCCCCCAGAGTAGTTTAGCTATTAGTACCTTCCTTCTGTATCAGAGTTTCTGTGTAAGCATCTCATGCAGTGGTTCTCAACTTGTGGATCCTCAGGTGTTTTGGCCTACAACTCCCAGAAAGAAAATACTTCAAACTCTAAAGTGTACCTGCTCAATTGTCCAGATCTTATTCCCAAGAAAACTTGAATGTAAATTAAGCAAATCAAGTAAATCTGTATCAACTCATTCTGTAAGATTTCCAGAAAGTTCTGCACTGAATATTGTGTTTCCCAATTTTCATAGTGTTGTTGTAGATTCAGTCCATTTATCTAGGGTAGCATATACTCAATTCTTCAACATGCCACCTGCTTGTATGGATCAGAATAAGGCACTTCTTCTGAGGCCCTCTTACCTTCCTCTTCCTTTTTTCTTTTGTCTGTATTTTCTGTAATAAACTTATTTAACACATTGCACAACAGCTTGCTTACGGGGGAGGGGGAGAGGGTGGCTTGATGATGGTGATTTTTTTTAATTTTTTTTTTGTAAATGGCTCTCTCTTTTTGCAGGATCTCAGCAAGAAGCCAAAAACACAGCCTTCCTCAATTTCAGGAGTTTCTGAACCTGTTTCTCAGCGGGAATTTCAGAAGTAGGCTGATGTTTATACTACAGACCAGTGGTCTTCAAATTTTTAAAGCCTAAGTTGTCCTTTAGGTCAGTGGGTCTCAACCTGTGGGTCCCCAGATCTTTTGGCCTTCAACTCTTAGAAATCCTAACAGCTGGTAAACTGGCTGGGATTTCTGGGAGTTGTAAGCCAAAACACCTGGGGACCCACCGGTCGACAACCACTGCTTTAGATGAAACATGCATTGGGGGGAATCCACCTTTGAAAAAAGTGTTGCTTGAATAGGCTGTTTTTTTTTTTAAAAAAATTGACAAGACCACAATGAGCATTTCACTGATGGCATTCGCCTTTAAGACCCCTCACTTTCTTCCCCATGAAACATGAAAATGGGGAGAGCTATAGCTATTTTCAGAAAGAAATGTTTTGTCTGACCAGCCAAAATGATGACAAACTACTCACAAATTATGTCTTCTACCCCTCTCCCCTCAAGTCCCCATCTCACAAAACAGTTGGCCAAAGGTTAGAGAGGATTCAATACAACAATGGAGATTGGAGGTGGGGGGAGAAGGAGATTTTAAAGGGATAAGAATTCTCCTTCTGAATTTGTCACAAAATCCAACATGCAGGAATCAAATACATTTTGCTCCAGATGCCAAAAGTTACCCTTTAGAGGCGGATGGCATTTCTACCATGTTTAGAGGCCTTCTTCGCCCTCCTTACTGTCCCAGGAATCAAACACAATGTTTGCAATTTTTTTCCAAAAACATTTTATATTGTTTCAAAAATATCCATTAGGAGTGCGGAGCAAATTTTCATGACATTTTCCAGGAGCTATGGGCCAATTTATAATAACAATAACAACAACAAATGTATTACCCGCTTCTCCTTGTGGCCTGAGGCAGGGTACAGCATGGTTAAAACAGAAAGATAAAATACAAAAGCCGGCCTTTAGCACAGCTGGTTAATCACTAGTAGCAACAGGTCACACCAATCTAAAGGTTGGCAGTTCGAAGCCCGGGTCGGGGTGAACACCTGACCTACAGCCCAACTCACTGTCCACCTAAGCAGTTTGCAAACAGCTATGAGCTGTGATTAAAGAAACTAGGCACCACTTAAGCTGGGAGGTATTTTACGGCAACATAAAAAGGAAAAACCAGAAAATGCTGGTGATCAAAGGAAGGAAGAATTCTGTGATCAAGGGTTCTTTGTCATAGAGGATGGAGCAACAGCACCCCCTGTGGCTGGAATCGAACACAACCTCCAGGAAGCCAAACTTGAGAAAAAAAGCTGACATATACCTCCACCTGTTGTGTCCTGTCAGTTTAGTGGCATTAAATGTTTGTCATGTATGTGTTCTGTGATCCGCCTTCAGGGTGAGAGCAGAATATAAATGCTGTAGATAAATGAATAGAATACATATAACAAGATACAGACAGATAAAATCCAGGTTAAAATCCACAAGCTAACATTTATATCCCAGAGAGACCTTTTTTGAAACCTAAACATGGTAAAAATAGCCCTATATCTCCCAGAGTTTTTTTAAATATGATTTGGGGGGGGGGGAGTAGCAGGTGCAGCCCTCCAAAGTTTTCTGGGGTAATGGGGCCTCATTGCCTTTCACAGTTGCCCACCCCTATATTGGAGTAATTATTCTAAAGCTCCACCCAAATGCCTTTTGTGCATGGAGATTTTCATGGGGTTCAGTTTCTTTCCTCCTCTTTTCTTCCAGGCTTTCCAAATATATTGAAGATCTGGAGAAACAACTGAAAGATGTGACACTTAAGCTTAATGAGGTCTCAAAACCTGTTCCCAAAGCGTCTCCGGAAAAGATAAAGAAGTGAGTGGAAAGAATAGTGCACACGTTTTATTATGGAGTCTATGGGAGGCTGCACTGCATCAGCAGGCATGGCAGTGGGCACATACTGGTATCTCAGTTCTCCTGATGCATCAGCTGAAATGGGGCAAGATGGCGATGCCTAAATATTTGAAAGGATGGCATACGTGATGTACAAACCAGCTTCTTTTCTGCTGCTCGGGAGGCTAGGACACAGCCATAGATTCAAATTGCAGGAAAAAAAGATTCCACCTAAACATTAGGAAGAACTTTCTGACACTAAGAGCTGTTCAGCAGTAGAATATGTTGCCTCAGAGTGTAGAAGAGTCTCCTTCTCCTGAGGTTTTTAAGCAGAAGCAGGATGGCCATCTGTCAGGAGTGCTTTCATTGTGCTTTTCCTGCACGACAGGAGGTTGGACTGGGTGGCCCATGTGATCTCTTCCAACTCTATGATCCTATTTATATATGATTATATGTATAGTGCAGGAATCCCATGCTGTACAGTGGCTCAAGAGATGGGCCAAGATGCTCACTAATTTCTTTTCAGTTGCTGTTTTTGAGCAGTATGAACTTGCTCCAGAGCAACAGTGATTCCCCTTTTGTAATCGCTCCTTAAACACATGTCTGAAGTGCAAGAGAATGGTATATTGCCAGAATTGTAATTTCATCACCACCCATATAAATCAGAATATAGCCAAGTGCTTTCCTTCTCATTGGACGAGGAGGTCACTCTTGTGCCGTAGCTATTTAAAGAAGCACAGCATTGGCTTATTCTACTCTGTATGAGAAAAAGCACTAATGCCCACAATATAGGAAATATACTTGAGTTTCCCGTATCAGAAAAAGTAACACTACAAAATTGTCTACAATCAGTCAAGTTTAAAAAACAGCAGAGCTCAAACCCAACTGCCAAATATCTCTGTGAGAAAACCCTGCTTCATGTATTCCTCTGGCTCAGTGGTTCCCAACCTTTGGTCCTCTGGGTGTTTTGGACTTCAGCTCCAACAATTCCTAACAGCTGGCAAGATGGCTGGGATTTCTGGGAGTTGAAATCCAAAGCCCCTGGAGGACCAAAGTTTGGGAACCATTGCCTGATAGAGGAATTGGGAGTAGTACCTATACTCTCATCATTGATTTGCTTCTGCCAACGCTTTGGCAAATGCTTCTCGATTGTTGCAGCATATTTGCATTACCAAGAACAAACTGTGATCTCTGCCAAGCTTTGTCTTTTCATCTGATTTTATCACATGCTTTTAGAGAAGGAAATACTAGCATGTGTCTAGTAAATAAGGAAAGGCAGCCTGTCGTCCATGCAATACTTTTAAACAAGCTGGCATTTGTGGTGGAATATGGAAAGAACCTGGATCAGGACTGTGAAAAGTAAAATGGCTTAGTTTTTCTTAGTATCTGTGTATCCCAGGAGGACAGAAGGAGCAATCCATGGCCTTTGGGTATTCTTTATTATTATCTGTTCTTTATTTCTGCCCTTCTACTTTTAAATATCATTTTCTAATTTTAAAAATACTAATTAAAGAGTGGTTCCCTTTTAGCTATATAAAAAGTAATAAACAGGTCCCAGTTGATCCTCACTACCATCATCATATATAATAGTAATCTTCCATATTTCTTTTCTCGTCCAGTTGGGTCAAATACCCTTTCGTCATCCTTGATTGTTTCTTTGTTCTATCTCTTCTTTTCATCCCATCCGGTTTGCTCCCAGCCTGTTCCTGCACTTCTTCAAAAAATTCTGTTGCCTTCTGCACTGATTTGAATCTAAATTTCTTTTGGTTGAATCTAAGATTCCTTCCAAATTCTCCCATTCTAGAAGGCTTTAATGGAAGGGAAAGATAGGAAAGGCCTTTCTAACAAATCAAAGGAAGAGGTAAGGTAGGATATACTTTATTGGAGAAATCCATTCCTTTTGATTAGGAAGAGGTTTTCAAAAGCAAAAAGAATTTTGAATTTCAGGCAGCAGTAGAATAGAAGTAGATTCAAAATTAGGCAACAAAGACAGCAATTGCCAGGATGAAACTCAAACAGGGCTGGCAGATATTCGATTTACTGGTAGGAGAAAGATTACTTCACTTCCGTTATTTATGGAAAATCATAACTACAGGCAAACAGATACTGCAGTTAGTTCAAGTTTGTCACAAAATCTAATAGGGAAAATGTCTTCCTTTACTAGTACCAAAGAGAAAAGACAAAAGGGAGATTGTGCAGGTGGAAATTCAACATTCAACATTCAATATAAATTGGGGCAACAGAATAGGTCCCCTCCTGTGAGTCATTTGGGGGAAGTTAGTCCGTATTCTTTATTGTTCCTAAACACAATGGACAACACAGATCTGTCTTGGATTTAAAATTCATGGATGGTTATGTACAGAAGTAGAGAATTTGGACTGGAACAGCTACTTTTTTTTTCATAGATTAAGGGATGCAAACTTGCATGCACCTATACATTGCAACTGCAGGAATACTTAAGATTAAATTACAGTGACAGCCATTACCAGTTTAAAGCTCTGCCCTTTGGTCTGGCATTTGAACCCAGGATTTACACCAACGTTCTAGTTTTGCCAGTTGTTAATTTGAGGCAAAAGTGGTTCCCTTATTTGAATATTTTATTGAAAGCTGGGTGCAGATTAAAAGCAGAACAAGGCCTTGGGGTAACATTACAGTGCTTGCAGATTGATAGTTTCCTAATACATTTCAAAAAGAGTCAAGGCACAGCTATATTTGGGAGCAGAAATGGATATATGGAAGGATTTAAAGGAACAACGGTGCATAAAATAGGAAATAATAAAATTGAGAAAGTTGAAGATGGTGGATTTAATACGTCTGGACAGAGTACTAGGAATATTAGTTTCAGAGTAACATCATTCAAGGAATTATGTTAGACTACTGGATGGAAAGAACTGTCAATATTCAAAATAGGTAGCCTTTGAACAAACTGCTTTACAACTAGTTCAAAAACTAGGCACCCCTTTCACTCTGAAAAATTGTCTTGAGAACATCCCAAAGATTATGGATTGCTTCTTCAGGCCTCCTGCAAATTAGAGGTTCTTATCTTCTGTGAATGATCTCATTCTAGGGAGGCTGAAGGAGTAATCTAAGCTTGCTCGTGACTGTATATATGAAAGAAAAGAAAGAAGATCAATTTTTGTCTCTTCTACTTCTTTCTCGGCTTTCAAAGTTATACTGGCAATTAAATATTTTGGAATGTTGCCCTCATGTCCTGATCAGCTGCTGCGAGAAAATACCCAAAGGTGGTGAATTCCTATAAGAATCCTTCATGGTAGGTTTCATCCCCTCATTCACACCCATTAGGAACGTGTCCACTCCTCAGGAACAAGTTTCTGCTTTAAAGGAACCACAAGTGCTACATTTCCTTCCTCAGCTACATTATTCTTACTTCATTCATGAGGCATGAACAATTTCTTGTTAACCATGTCATCAGTGGAAAAAGTGGCGAATTGAACCTCATATTTTATTATATACAGGAACTATAATCCTTTGTGTATAACTAATGCCAGTAGACCTAAATCCGAGACAGGAGAGTTGGTTTCTATGAGAGAACTTGATTTTTGCTAGCAATTGCTTAAATGAAAGATGCAGCAGGCATGAAGGAGGTTACACGGGACAGAAAAGGTCATGTTGTGGCAAAAAACGTATACATTGCTGTTTGCCTGTTTTTGGTTAGAGTCTGCAAAGGTTTCATCCAAAGAGAAACAATAAGGGAAAAAAACAAAGGACAAAAACTTCAGGTTATTAACATTTTAATTATTTAGAACAGGACAAAAGGCGCCATGAAAGTGCTGGGAGCTGGCATCCTGTCAGATAGCAATGAAAGGTTTTGAAATGAAAGATCAACAACACCAGTAAGTTCTCAAGCCTTCAAATGTCACAGAAAACTAAATAAAATATTATAGTTTTGTATCTTTCAATTTAGTCGCATGTTTCGTATTCACCGTTTGAAAAGAATGAAAAAAACATTCCAAGGCAAAAAAGCCATACACAAAACTAGCTTTTCACTTTCATACCAGCAATTGTGAGCATATATTAGAATGAAGAACATGTGAACACAACTTCGAATGAAGCAGTGCATTAGTTCAAATAAGGATTAATGTATCATTGCATAGTAGGAGAACTATGAAGATGGTGTTCTTATTGTCCTCAAAATAATAGTACCAGCCTAAGGAATCCTTTGAGTTGTAGTTTGATGTGATCAAATGATATCACCTTATTCTAATAAAAATATATATGCAAATAATGTTGCAATTATACTGACACATAACTTCAAGAAGAACAGGTACAACTCTCAAATATGTATTTTACATTGCGTTAGTGTCGGAAAAAAATATTTTCTCTTGGAATTAGGTTTACATTTGGATAGTGGTGTAACAAAAGAAGTCTGACATTTCTCTTAGGTGGAGCTGAAAAAACTACATTGAAGTTTGCACTACATTGCTTCTACATGGCTATTCCAGCAACGATGGAAGTCTTCAGCAAAATATGTGTGTGATTGCGCCCTCAGGGCACTTGTTGACTTATTGTAGATCTCATATTTTGTAAGGTTTTATTAGGCAAGTACTACTCAATTGAAGTTTTGCCAATTCCATCCTCTGAAATATAGCCTATAGCAGCACCTGGTAGGCTATATTGTCTCCCATCCAAATATTAACCAGCGCTGACCTGTTTAAATTTCACAGTAAGGTGAGATCTGGTGCCTTTAGGGCAGGCCTGCACAACTTGGCCCTTATAAAGGGACAAGATTTCTTTTAAAAACTTTTACAAGCCAGTCCTGCCTCCCTACCTGACCAAGAAGACAGATATGTGAAGGGGAAGCCTAGCCCTTTACATGGGCCACAGGGAAGCCCTTTGCAGGCCACATCTGTTGTGTATCTGTTGCAGGCCACATCTGCTTTAGGGTATTACAGGTGAAAATGTGCTATTTTCATTTTTGCACACACTTAGGACTGGATATGAACGATAAGAAACCCAGTGCCAATGTGTGGATCTTTAATATAAGGAAGGCACATAGATTGACAAATTTCACTGTTTTGTTTTCTAAGGATCTAATAAGAGA